ATCATTTCCATTTTCCTGGCCTACACTTTTCCTTCATCTCTTGTCAGCGTAAGAAAATTGGTTCCCAAGCCTGAAGATGCAGTTTAATGGGAAGTAAGCCAAAGAAAATACACATTCCCTCTCCTTGTTGGGTCAAAAGGCTTGTTTGTTGGCCTAACCCTTTGCTTGCAGTTTGTAATAGAGTGGGACAGCCAGCAGTGTTCGCCAGGAGGCAGGCTCAGTGTTTAGTTTAGCGAGAAATGACGTCAGACGCGTACACTAGATTACGAGGATTTGGCGTTGAACAGGGCAATAGATTATTTTGAGATTCTCACGTTTATATTACTTTCATCGGAGCAGCAGTGGTTCATAACAAGGGAGTTAGGTTGTGCTTTAGTAAATGTTGTGGTTGAAGAGAAGACTGTGTGTAACAGTTATGAATGGTTACTCAATAAATCAAATGTTTTGTTTCATGTTTCTGCAATGTTTAAAGTAATAATTCATGTTATGCTTGGAAGTAAATAAGAAAGTTTTTGAGCTTCAAATGTCCCAACATATCAAACAATGTTATGGTGGACTCAAATGCACTGCTCCTCATTGCCAGCCCTCACATATGGTCTACACCAGTGGGGTGCAACTGGGGCAGTGTCGGGAACATGGACACACCAAGCCATGGCCAAAACAAAAGTTATTGTTGTCTAAATCTAACATTATGAACAGAACAACTCCAACTGACTCTGGAATTGAGGAAAGTACATTTGAGTCAAGTAACTTATGTCAAGAAAAGATTTTACATGTTATTTCAAGAAATGTACGTTTTAAAATATTTTTTTCGTGGATTTAGATGGTATTTTTCTTATCAAACCTGCATATAGACACCAATAGGGCTGTAACAAGATCAAACTTTAATTCTAACTCATTTATTATTGCAATCGTTTTTTGACCATGCATACTTGAGTTTTGTTTGGGTCAATTGTATACAAAAAATCCCATATTCACTGAGCTTTTGGGTTCTAGACAACTAATCAATCCAAACCAAAATCATAGTTAATTACAAATAAATGTTACTTATTTCTTGATTACTTATTTTTTTTTTTTTACAGTGCAGTAGATCCAGATTATAAAAAGGTTGTCCAGTTGAGAACCACTGGCCTACACTAAGAAGCTTGTGAAACCTGGGTCGCCACAACCTCCAATTCCAATAAAGTGATTCAGTATCGTATGGAACATTTCTCAGGCTGTAAATCTGTGCGTTTCGACGTTTCAAAGACATTACGACTTCTGATGTCGCTCCAAGGGTCAGTTTTATCATCCTCTTTCAAAGTCCTCCCAGGTAAAAATGTCCAATTCTGTCCCGACTGAAAGCGAAAGGGACAGATCATGAAAAGAAGAGGGGTTAATAAAAGGCCAGAAGAAAGCTAACTCGCGTAACCACACAGGGAACTTGTTAGCCTATTAGCTCACTGACATATGGCTGCATTTTCCTTCTGACTAGTGAGAGCAGCTCTTTCCCCTCCGTCCATGCTCCTCTGAAGTCACAGCTGCTGCAGACGGATTAATGTGTTTCCCAGAGCTGATGGGAGGACCGCAACTTTGACGGCTACCAATAGACTCCACTTTTCACACAGAGGCAAAAAGACACAGAAACACATAATTGACTTCCCCACACATTAAATGGTTTCATTGTTTGGGAATAATTGTAAATGTACTTTGTAAAAATGTGGGTATTGTGCAAACAGAATGGGGCACATATAAAAAATACAATAAAAAATACACCTCTATAATTCCAGTTGTTTTTTCCAGTTCAAATTCTTGCGCAACTATTATTCACATGCCGCTTTTGAGTAAAACACCTCAGAATAACCTTTCGGCTGCTCTTTTACATCATACATAGTCAATATTATTGACCTTTATTTGACCAGCAAAGTCCAACTTTTCAAGGGAGTCCTGGCCCCAGAGAGTGGGGTTTGAATGATTCAGCCAACCCCCTTTTCCAAACCTTGTATATTGTAATTTATCATTCTGTTTTGTCAAATTATGTTATTGCTGGTTTTGGAATAAACATAAATATTAAATGTTATAAGTGGAAGGGGAAACCGGAGCACATGGAGGAAACTGGAGTCCCCCGAGGAAACTGGAGCACACGGAGGAAACCAGAGCAGACACAGAAAGAAAATGTAGACTCCACTCAGAAAGGCAATGTCTGGAAGTGGAATCAAACCCAGAACCGTCTTGCGGAGAAGGGAGAGTGCTCACCACAACTGCCCCATGAATGACAATGGTCGGCGATTTTTTAAAACTATATGTGTTGGTAAATAGTTCTGAGAAGAGGACATTTTCTCAGAAGTTAGTGACACAATTTTCTGAAACTGTGCCTTGCTGGGTAGTAAAATATTTACACCCTGAAGCAGCCTGTACTTTCCCTCTTAATGTAAAATGACAACAGTAGTTTGCTTTCAGTCCAACCCTCTCATTATATACCACTCTTCTGCTCATTTCCCCTCATATTAGCTCTCAGTAGTCAGACATGCCTTCCACTTCCGCACGACATCCAAATCATGCTGTAACCAAAACGTCAGTACAAAGTTTCAACAAAATGCTGCTGGGACATGACCTTCTTGACCTACTTCTATTGCATTTCAACATCTGGTGAAATCCAACTCTTACCAAACCATCGAGCCGCTTTATGACATTCACCTGTTGTTTACAAAACTATTAATGCGCCCCATGGCACTGAGTTAACAAGACTCTCGTGCCACGGAAGCTTAATACGGACCATATGGGAAGGAGACAAAATCAGCTTTGCAGCCAGACAGCCTTATAACGATTCCTCAGGCTCAGAGCTTATTTTATACAACTGAAGCGGATCCCATAAACTGGAGGCCTAATATTTCTAGAAAGGATTGGAACACTTTAGGGCACCTGGAGATAATCTGACAGAACACGTTAAAAACACGCAAACCTTGATTATACATAGGGAAATAGGACTAGAGCGGTGGCCGATGATTTGCTGTGGAAACGGTGTTAATAATAAGTTTCAAAGTCACATTTTTGTCCGAGGCATGCATTGCAAACAAGTACAAGGAACCCCCAGTGATGAGTACTAACCTATCATCAGCTCACAAAACACAGCCTATGATAGGATGCACAAAAACAAAGCGTTTGTCAGTGCTCTTTTCCGCGCTCATCTCCCACATTGTCTCTAGGAACAAAAACTGAATGCCCTTTCATAAGCTCCTGTCTTTGTGATGCACCTCGCGCGGCTATCACGGGCATCTATTCAACTCTGTCATTCAGCCATGAGCGAGAGAGCGCCGTGATGTACCATAATGCACTTGGCACTGGAGTCAGTCCCAGTCAATGAGGCCTGGCTCCACACCGCACATTCCTTCAGATGACTGGTGGCGGAGATCAACTGGAATGAGCATCTCAATGGATCAATGTACGAGTCAATTTGAAAGAGGTAGAAGAGGAAATGTTGCCAGAGTTTAATGAAGCGGGGGGGGGGAGTGGCTTCAGTGGTTCTTATTTTGATGTGGCTGTCAGAGGTAGAAAGGGGGGAAAAGCCATGTAAAAAATCCCAGTCTGGTCAGTGACATGTTTTTTCTTTACCGAGAAGGGTGTAAAAACAACAAATGAGGCTCTACCTGCGTTCACAATAGAGTTTTGAGCACAAACCATACCATGGTAATCCGCCAGATTTAAGGATCTTTCCAGGATGATCCCACTGTCACTCCTGTTGAGTCGTGAGCTTATAATTAATGATAGTTTAGGTTGACCAATTCCACATATGAGCATGTTATTATAGTAAATGTGCTGAAATTACCCATTTGTGTGAATAAAACAGATTAGGACATCAGACTGTGTTGCTGCAATGTTCTCAGAAATGTTGGAGCCACATCTTAAAGTCCTTAAGAGAGATTCAGGTAAAGCTAAAAGCCTCATACATTTACATCATCGTACATAAAACAGAGCTGAAACCATTCATAAAACTATTCCATTACAAAACAGCACAATTTCCTCGCCTTGATTTTAGTTAGGTAATTTTATAATTTTAAAAGAATGTGAAAATCTTGCACATCGAGCACACACAGAACTATTTGCGGCAGAGACACTTCTCTGGTGCCAGCTCTGCTCTGAAGGCAACATTCTTATTATGAAGTTTAGGAATTTCTGTGTGAAAAAAATAGTTGCTTATGCTTATGCTTATGTGTTTTAAGGGTGATTCATACATTTTTCTCAAATCATTTCAGATGCATTTAGGGACGTTTGTGGAAGTGAATAGATTACTGTAATTAATGAATTGCATGTAAGAAATGATAGATGACTCGATTAATTACAAAATTGATTAGTTACTCCAAAAACATTGTAAAGGGCTTTGGGTGACCTTGGTCTGTGAAAAGTGCAATATAAACAAAAATTACTGACTCACCTACTTACTATAACTAAAAACATAGATCAGATATATTAAAGCTGGACTACGTAACTTTAATACCACAAATATTGAAACTATTCATTGAAATGCTGAGTAGTTTCTCAGGTCGGTCCTATCACTAGTTTTCACTTGTGCTTTGTAAGACAGAAAAGTGAAAATGAGAGAACCACCCTCACTTAGCTCTAATTTATGCCGTGGTCTGATTTGTTCATATTGTATTTTAACTCTTTCTTTTGAGGGAAACAACATGCATTATTTATGAGGTAAAGTTAGGTACCCCAGCTTTAATGTTGTTCTAAATCAGGGGTCTACAACCTGTGGCTTGGGAGCTAACACTAGCTCGCCACCCCCTTCCAGGTAGCTCCCCAAATGATTTAGAAATGTACAAATAAAATGAAATAGTGAATATCTCAGTACTCTTCATATGCTCACAACTTTTGTAAGGAATGTGTGATGATAACTAATAACGTTGACAAAGACAATACCCAATCTCAGGTTGTCCCCAATAGTCTCTCAGAAAGAAGCTATCCAGGGGAAAAGGTTGGAGACCCCCGTTCTAAATAATAAATAATAAAAATGAACAAACCGGTACGTCAATCTTAATGAGTGCGATGTCTGATTTCTCGTCCACATCTTTGATCTTTGCGTCATAGGAGGCTCCGCTCTTCAGCTCCACCTTCACCCTGTGCTTATTGGCCACGACATGAGCATTGGTCACAATCTGTCCGTCTTCTGAAACCACGAACCCGGATCCACTGGCCACCGCCACCTCCCGCTTGGAATAAGTCATTCTGCAAAGTCAAGTTGGACATGTTAAAGGAACCGTATGTAGTATGCACTATTACTAGTCTCATTTTATTCTTAATTCTTGTTTCTTTATTATGCTATAAACTATAAACAATCACACTTGTGTTTCCAGAATTCTGCTCTCTGATTGGATCATCTTATTGAAAATTGTAAATACAGATATCACAATCAAAAACTAAATAGTAACTGCTGCAAGTATACAGCGTGTTGCTATGGTAACTAGCACTTGCTTCAAGCTGAGATTGCACTAAACCAGTCCAGAACCAGGTCTAGTATCGAGATAGTTTCATAAACATAATTACACTGAAAACTAACTTCATTACATTTTAAACAGAGGAAAAGTCAGTCAAGTTATGAGGACCAAAAATGTGCATTAGACGAGTAATTGCACTTCCAAAATGAAAAGCCGTCAAATTGTGTTAAGTATCCACTTCTTATCCCACTTTCCTTTTTTTCTTATTTTACAATTTTCTTGAATGGAAAATGTATAGTACATCTGAAAGCCACATGCTAAGCTAAGAGTTGGATGATGGGGAGTTAGAGAGGAGACAGGAGATGAAAGAGTGAAATGAAGGGGCTCTGTCAGCTGGTGTGGTCCGACTACACACACATACACAGATGGGCCATAAATCCTGTGTCTTTTTTGTTAGCCTTTGCACTTAGACACACTCAAACACACAGGTACCAAATGACGCTCTTACTTGCGGTAAAGTTCAATGTGAACCACCGAAGGGGCGATTTTCTCCACCACGTCTGCAATGAAGTTGTATTTGTGTCTCGGGCTGTCTGGATTGTCCTGGGCTGGAAATAAACACAGAATGCACAAAAATAGAGAGATGTGAGAGCGGGATGACAAAGGGAAAGGTTCAAATGCATGACGTTCTGTCTTGTATCAAGCTAAAACAGGGGAATGAGGAGAGATGACAGCTCATGTATGGGAAAGTCTGCATCACGAGCCACATCACACACAGCTAAACTTTAACCCTAATGCAGTTATTCAGTCGAGCCAAAGGTTTTCAAACCCTGTTACGTTCACTGTTGAAATATTGCTCCTAATTACCCGCCCTATCTCTGGGGACAAGTCAGGAAATGTTGACTTATTTCACTGCTAATTAAACCCTACCCAGAAATGAGTTCAGCCCAAATTGTAAATCAGGGTAGTTCATTCTGGGATCGACTCCATTTGACTTGAGTTGGCCCCAAACATAGATAAACAAAAGCCATCAGAAAAAGCAGCCAATGACAAAACTTTTGAGGCCAGTGCAAAGGAAAAGCATTGGTTCAATTGAGCTTTTTTGTTTCAGTAACATTTATGACCCCAGAAACATTAACTTTACTCTTAGGATAATAACTCAGGTGTTGTACAAACGAATACATGTCTTATAACAGTAACCCCAGAGAATGAGCAAAGAAGCAATAGTAGTTGCAATAGAAGTGATTGAAAAAGCAACTAAATGGCTGCAATCCCAAGGATGACAAAAATTGCTCTGGGGAGTTTAGTTGAGAAACAGACTTTCCGCTTGAATTGCAGCTAAGCTAAGTTAAGTATGGAATGAGTACCATCATGCCATAACGAATGGCACTAAATTATACTGTATACGCACATATTTCTCAGCCTTTAGGGGAAATTCCTGTATTCACCGGTCACCCACTCTATGCTAGACTATGTATGTTTCATTCCACAGTTCTCAAGTATCGTATTGAACACAAAGATAGGTTTAAAATGGGACCTAATGGCCTCCTTGGATACTAGCATTTATACCCTGTCCTCAGTTCAGTTAGGATATGAAAAAGTATGTTCATTTTTAGTCTTTAGTCACAATGAACTGTTCAATTCAAAGGTCGTTCTGTTTTGCAGGTGCATAAGGTCTCTAAATATATTGTATGAGTGTGTGGATACAGACAAAAGTCAACAATCATGGACACATTTTGAGAAATATTGTGTTAAGATAAACTTTTAACAGAAACACTTAATGTATTTGTGTCCGTTTTTGTATTGAAAGATGTCTTTAATTTGCAAACCAGGGAGGGCACCAATGAGTCCCTGAGGAGTCACCAATGGGTCTTAAAAAGTCAGAGGTAAAAAGATCTGAGGACTTGATGAAAGTACTTTATTGACAGCATGTTACAACGACTGGAACAAATGTGTGATGGGCCACATACTAGCAATAATAGCCTTTACAAGATGCATATTTTCTTCAGCCTTGGGAGATGGTTCGTAGTGAAAGTTGTGATTACTCATCGCTGTAGCAATAGCAGCTGTCATAGCAGTAAGTGGTTGTAGCAGCATCAGTGTAGTAAAAGTACATTAGTAGCATCATTGTAATCATTGTGCAATTACTTATGCAGCACCATATTAGTAATAACTTGACTATGGTAAATATTATTATTATTATTGTAACGATACACCCTTGACTGTAGCTTTACTCCGCTGATAAAAGACGCATTTGAAGCCAATCTGAACTCAAAGTCAAACTTGACCTAATTTTCCGCACTCCCAGACCTATATGACATCATGAGAAAGCAGGACCATGTGTTTTCATAATGTGGTACAAAATGGGGAGTCTGTTCTTCCTTGCAGCCCTGTCTGAACCTATAGCCCTAATCACTAGTCGCTACAGCAGACAGATTTGTCCACTAACAGCTTACACTTGAACTGAATGATCAACACAAGACATTTTATAGTCCTTTTTTTTTCAGCAAGAAAATCACTCAGTTTTGCAGACGTGGTCCCTTCTGGCCAGGACATGATTTGGGTTGCTTTCATGAGTGACTAACATACACATGGTTGACCTCAGCTGAAGGATAGGGCGGGTGTTCTATACGCTCTCCAGCCTGTTGTGAGCTCTCTTCTTACTAAAGAGGAATTGTGAATTTGAATCCGAGCCAAGGATTCCTCCATACAACACGTGATTTATAGATGACAACAAAAAGGCAGAGACGAGAAGACTGAAGATAGTAGTCACTGTCAGCAGATATCGATGTTTCTAAGCCTTCAGGTGCTTTAAGCAGAAAGAGCAGGTGTGTGGGGGGTGTTTTCAGACTCAGAGGATGCAGCACCTCATAAAAAAACCACATGAGATTTCTGCAAAAAACTTTGTTAGGATATAAAATACCTGACAATAATAGTAATGATAATAAAACATGCAAAACTATGTACTAATGCATGCAGTTACACAAGCAGCTCCCAGTAGTGATACCATGTAATATGACCTTAAACACCTGAGGAAATATTGTTACTCAAGTGGAAGTCAAAGTTATAGTGTACAAAACTACCATGAATAACATACTGCTCATAATACTAATTATACTACAGCTCAAACCATTAGGCTGCTTTTTCCAGCCCCAAAAGTGGAACTGGAAAAGGTGCCTAATAGAATAAAAAGTGATTTTATACTTTTAATATCATGACACCGTTAAGTATGATTGTGTCATTATGCCAACCCAAAATAAGGCTAAGTCCCTAACTTTTTTGGTTTCAGGAACACATTATTTTGTCTTTTTATATGAATCTTGTTTAATAGTATTTTGGGAATAAGTTAGACCACAACATGCTGTCTTTATCTTTTTAGAAAACCTTTTATCTTCTACATCAAAGGTTGTTGATAAAGATTGCTGATACAACTGTTTTGCAAGCTTGGAACTAGTGACATGGATTTTAAACTAATTTACTAATTAACTACGGATTCGTTTTTTATTTTGTTTTGTGGTTTTAAAGTTAGGAACCCCAGCTTTAAGTAACTGGCAGTGTATTTTGCATAATGCTTCTTGAAGATATCATACCTTGAAGATTCATTATTGGACTGGTCTGACCAAGCTGCTGCTTCTGATCAAGCCTCATTGTAATTCTAGCCCAACAGGACATCTGTCAATAGAGCCTTTTGTTTTCCAGACACAAAGTCATTCTGTCAGTCCTCGCAGCTGTATGCTGTGTGCAGTGTGAAGCCAAATGTTTTAAAGGGGTCATGGTCAGAGATTGATGGAAAGTCAAGGTGTGATTTCAAAGGGAGTTTTATAGACATGCTTGAAACTGCAGCCATCCAACTATTAAAAGATGAAATCAAGTTTCCACAGACTTTAAAACTCACAATGAAAAATTTTTATAATTTGGGCTTTACTATTAAGAGATTTCTTCATAAAACAGGCACAATTTTGGCAGTAGTTTTGTTAAAGCAGAGGTACATATCTTTCAAACCACAAAAAATTAACTATGCAGTAAAATCAATCTGACTATAGTTCCTCACTCTCGTTTTCACCATAGACTGTAAATATTAAGGTTTTCAAATGCATGTATGTTTGGCCTCTGTCACATATTTAGATCACCTTTTTCAGAAAAGTGAAAGAGAGTGGACCTCACTCACTCAGCCAATCAGCTTTCAGCCCAAAGCGTCAAATTGTGACTTAATGGCTCTTTCTTACAAGTATGCAAAATATAACGTGTTTCTTAAAAATGAAGACAGCATGGATTGATTTGATCACACAATTATACTTTTGAAAGTTAGTAATACAGAATGATTCTAAGTTTTATTTCAGTATAAAATTTAGGTAGCCCATCTTTAACTTGAGAGTAAAATGAAAGTAGTTTGAGGAAGCTTCCTTTTGTAGTTTGGATGCATGACACAGGTGAGCCTACCTTTCCCGCAGGCTCCTCTCTGTATGAGGAGCACCGGAGGCTGCTGGAGCTTCTGCGCCCTGGAGCTCACCCTCTTCAGCTCGCAGATATTCCGGTAGGACACCCCGTCACTCCCACACACGGGCTCCGTGGTTTTGCACACACAGAGACCGCTCTTACTTCTCCGTCTGACCGTAGCGGTGTAAGCCACGCCGGTCCCGGGCACAGAGCACTCCAGCCCCTCTCCGCACACCGGGTCCCCCAGCTTCCCACTGCCGCCACAGGACTCGCCTTCCCCGGACGCACACACCGGGCAGCAGCCGCATGCGTCCAGGGTCTGACCCGTGGAGCAGTCGGCCGCTACCCGGGGACACATGGACTTATCACAGCGAGGGGGACATCCAATAACAAAGCGGTTTGTCTGTCCATCCGCGGGCACAGAGAGGACAGAGACTAGAGCGCACAGAAGGCACAGGCTCAGCATGACTACAGACGGATCCAACTATAACTGCAGCAGAATCTATAGAAAGTAGTTGCAAAGCAGTGGAAAGTTGTCTCCCTGGTCGCAGTGAGACGAGAGCTCAGTAAAGCTGAAAGAGAAGTGTCTCCAGGAGTAGAGGCATTTTTCTCTCCTCTCCACATCTGACCACAGCGCGTTAACTTGGCGCGTGCGTGCGAGCAAAGACAACAAGGCGCACGATTGGCCCCTCACTGTGACGTCACAATATTAAGAAACTCAGCCATGTGAGCCATGATTATACACAATATTCCGTTGTTTAACCTTGGCTCTATAATAATAACAATCAGATCAGACTTGTATCCATTGCCACAATCTATATATTTCACAAGCAAATGAAATAAACATCTGAAAGTGACTGTTTTAAACTTAATAATACAACCTTTTATTGTTTTTACTTTATGCATCATAATTGTTTTACCCATTCCACTTTTGACACATGCTGACAAACCTGTATAATTAAATGTGTTACTTGTATCTCTGTGCAGCACTTTGGAAACTTGTTTTATAAAGTGTGCTATACAAATAAATTTGACTGGACTAATAATAGCTCTAACATGATCTTTGTTGTACAAATACCGTGGGCCGTGCACCTGAGTGATATGTGCAGAGTAATGAATAACTTACAGATGTTATCTTTTTTCTTTTTATTTATTTCTGTTATTGAATTTTGCAGTCCTCTATCTCCTTTAAGGCTTCACTTTGTCTGTTTCACACGAAATGTATTGGAAAAATAGTGTTCACAAGATTCAAAACCTCAGAATATATCAAAGGCTACATTTTGTGCGTATTTCTCCTATTGTCAACAAGTATGCTCCTCATGACTACATGCTTTGATGTTCAAACGGCTTCTTTCCGCGTCTCTTCTGCGTGTGCCTCACGTAAACCTACGGTTAACTCCATCCCAGCTCAACACTTAGGTGTGCCTGCCTGACTCATACAGGAGCAGATGTGATGCCTTTCCCAGCTCCAATCATCAGGACCAATTAGCAACAATAAAACAATAGTGGAATGCTGATGTTTACGCACTGCAGAGCCCTGCATGCATTCTGCAGGCCCATTTCCTGCACCGGTTTTATTGCTCAATGAGGATTAGTCATAGTTGGCAATGCATTTACTACAGCTTAGTTGTGGGCATACAGCTCATTAGGGAACTCGTAATTTTACTTAAGATTCAAGACTAAACATGCATGTTATTATTACCATATTACAAAAAGTGCATCACGATGCAATTTTGTTTTCAATATTTTATTTGACTAGGGAATTAAATGAGGTGCAGAGGCAAATTGTAAAATTACAACCATCCAATTTGATATAATGCATCAAATAATCTAATTTACTTTATGACATTTCATATTCAATATTACCATTTATAACATGATTAACTCAAAGTTTTACATTTGAATCCAATGCAGCAGACACAGCAGACTTTTACATAACCTTAGGTAAAGAGGTGAACACTGATCGCCTGTTGAGTTTACACGTCTGCAGTGAGCTGTTAAAACCTCCATAAAATGTCCTGGGACAAAGTGATAGATTGTGGGCCATGGTTATTTAAGTGACTTTAATGCAGCTGAAAAAGTCTTGTGTCTGTTGATGCTCAAAGTAAAAGGAGGAGTTGAGACTGAGCGTTGTTTGCCACTTCAGCAAACAGAAGTAATGTGTTTTCATGGAGACCATAGTGTATGCACAAATGGAGTGCCATAAATCATAATATTGTAAAGTCTGTGGTAGAGCATGGAGACACCAGGGGGAAGTAATGGGAAAGTGCAGTATGTGGATGAACCAACCAGTGGCTCCATGAGGAACACCCTTTCTGAGGCTGAGCCATGAGTACAGCAGAGCTGCCGAGGTCTGTGATCTCCAGAGCTGTGCTGTGTCTGAGGCCCCTGAGAACCAGAACCAGACTGGGTTTCCACACACGAGGCCTAATGAAAGACTGCGCTGTACCAGTCTGTGACTGTGGGGAGAGCAGCGTACTGTCAGTGAACTCCTTTCACAAACATAATCTTGATTCATTCATTTATTTAGCATTTGCTTTTATGCAGTAATAGAACACAGTGTGTCACTGACAACAAGGTGAGAGAAGTTTCAAAATACTACAAGTTCTGGTCAAGAGAGCACATAACAGCAATAACCCTTTACTCACTCATCTGTTCAATAAAAACTTCAGAATGTGCAATATAGAACCACATTTGTCACTGTTGCTCTACTTGGTCACTTGGTCCTGGACCCTTGTGCTGCTAACATGTACAGATGTACACATACATATATACTATATATTACTTGCTCTAGAATACACAGTACTTTATACTTGCTTCATATTGTGAGGTCAGGTTGTTTTTTAAAAATTCACCAATCACCAATGATTTTTGATCATCACTTGTACTTAATGTCGCAATACAATAATAACATAATTTTAGTCTGGAAATAAACTCATATCTGCTCAAAACCTTGTGCTTGTTGCTTCAACTCTGATATTTTATGTGATCTCATTTTGATATGCAAGAATTAAGAGTTCCCAATCGTAACAATTATATGTAGTCTGTAACGCTAATGTTCAGAAGGGTTAGTGCACCCGTTATTCTATGGACCATTCCAATTCCAACTCCAACAAATGTGTTTCATATCATGGTGTTCCGATGGTTTGGTTTTTATAATCTGCTGTAGATGAATCAACAATTACATGAATTAAATTGAATGTTAAAGGGCAGTAAACCCACTTTAAGCCCTGCTGTGTGAACACACAGATTCTAGGCCCTCGGAATGAACAAAGTGTGGCTTGAGACAATTAAGAGACCCAGAGAAATCTTATGAACAAATAGGTTTTCTTTTGTTACAATAACATTGCAATAACTATGTTGATATTATCATTCTGTGTCACAATTAACATTTATTTCAATGTGTGGTTAATCTTGCACCTTCCTAGTCCTTTATGATGTACCTTTTGTAGCCCCAGGTTTGGTCAAGTGAAATTTAGGACCTTTACAACCAATGAAAAAGAAGGTATTTCATCACATAGCATCGAGGACAGAAATGTCACCACAAGGGGGCAGAGGAGGTTATGATGAGATAAACAGTTTAGACTGAGAGCCATTTTAAGAAGTCATTGGCTCCATGATTGTAGTCCTCTGCTATGGTAATGTCTCGTTTTCTTCCCCACATACTGCTTAGGCTTGGAGACAGTGTTTAGCTCAATAACGCTCACGGCGACACATGTGCAGTGTTTAATTCTTTCAAGTCATCCATAAAATAAATAGACACAGTTCCAAAGAATGACTAAGATTGGACAGTTGCTCAGCTTTGATTAGTTACAGAAAGAAAGATGATATATTTCAGTGGGACAAATGAAGCTGCCTTCTATCGGGTAAACAGTGAATAAAAAGTTAAATCACACATGTTAATTGAATTTCCACACGGATTACAAGGAAACAAAAGTGGTATTAATCAGCACAACGTTGACTGGGAACAAGTGTTGAGTAGTAAGTAAACCTATTAGCTTCCATCATTACATCAGTATCTATTCTATTCTAGTCATGTTTAAAAAGACTGTTTTAATCACCAGAGGAAAAACGGTTTATGCAAAATTACACACTCCAACACAAACTGTAGTTTTAATCATAGAGTTGATACTAATGGTATTTTTATGCACACAAAAAATATATATGACCGACAGTCTCCTGATTTTTCCTACTTAATTAGCACTGAAAACAACTGCTGGTATAAATTTTTTTATTGAGCCCTAATATGTCTAATATTTCCAGTGCTAAAATATGGTATGTCGGACAAATAGCATACAATACATGGTCATAGATTGCAGTGGATTAGTATTATTATGTTTTTGGCATACGAATCTGAACAGTCCCTCTGATTCAGACTAAATTAATTATTACATTATTCCTTGACAGAAAATGGGGTTTGAAGTTGTCGTAGCACACTCATGTCTTTGTGTAAGCACAGAATACAACTGAATTCCTGTGGTTATGTAAATAAAAGCTTTAAAACAATACCAAGAAAGGTAATAAATATACTGTTGTCAAAGTGGAGGCTGTGATGAGAGGACCAAACAGTTCAAACAGAGATATATTTTCTTCTTCTTCCAAATGGAAAATGGAGTTCAGTTCATAACATTTTAAATCAATACAAGGACAGAATCGGCTACACGGCTCAGACCAGACTCACGGGTAGGTCAGCGTCCTCCAGGTCTAGGGGCAGTTCTGGCTTTATGGGATCAAAGCTGCTCCTCCGTCGCCATGGGGACTCCTCGCACTCCGGGGCTGGGGCGGCGGTCACTTTGCCAGCCGGGTCTCCTGCAGGGACAGGCGCGCGGGCACATGGCTGGGCCGGGGCAGCAGGCTCATGAAGTGCTCGCTGTCCCAGGCCAGGCTGTGGGCGTGTCCCCCAGTCTGGGAAACATGGTGGCACGGCAGATATGGGCGAGCGAGGGAGGGGGGGGCCCGCGGGTGTACGGTAGAATGCAGTGGTGCGGCCGCTGTTTTCCTGGATGTGAGAAGTACATGTAAGTCAAAGCGAACGCAGTCAAAGTCCTGTCCTGAAATGAAAAACTACGGACTTGGATAATGGCCCGAATGAGTGGCCTGGCGTGGCTTTAGTGCTGATTCTGAGGCCAGAGAAGTTAGAGCAGGAGATGGTGCTAACAGTGTAACAGTTGTAGAAGCAGAAGTATTAGAAGTAGTAGTGGGAGCAGTTGGGAGTATTCTGCAGGTTTTAGGGTTTGAGTCTCAAAAGGTTGCAATGAAGGGTTGTAACAAGCACTGGTGGAGTGGTTCATGGTCGTCATTTCACAGCTTTTCATTGTCACTTTTTAATCTCTGAAAAAGAAAAAGGCATGCCAGAAAGAAGCCAAAAAGAAGGACAGAAGCACAAATAGTGGTTAGTGACCTCGTGTTGTTGGCGACAAGTTTATGAGTTTCTTAATTTTTTCTTGCAGTAAATGTTTCTGTCTGTGATAAGTTAGTAACGGAAACAATAAAATCATGACAATACAATATTATATTAACTTCAGATGGAAAAAAATAGGTTAGCGTTATCATTTCATTAGGTTGACCAAATCACACAATATTCATATTGAACAGTATTGCACACATGACCATAATAAGTTCAGGTAATTAAAGAACAAGAAGAGGAAACACATACAAGCTGCGGACAGGAGGAAGGAGGAGAGATAAGCAGGATGTCACACATCTAAGACAGGTGCACAGCTGCAGCAGGCTGCAGAGACAAGGCACCGTACAGAAGACACATGGACACATCAGACAAAACACACGTTAAGATTTACAACACTTCAGCGGATCATGCAATATGCACATTGAGCTTCCAAGCGATTAGATTTGTTCTCTTACTGACACTATGAAGAGATAGGAAATGGATGATCCTGTTATTAGGGTGTAAGAATATAAGGATGCCTTTTGTCACATGTTCAAACTATGTTCAGTATGGAGCTACAGCATGACTGGGTTTCCTTACATAGGGTTTACAGAGGCATTTGTTGTTTAGTTTTAAAGTTTATAAATTAAGCACAACATTGTGGCTTAATTAAATACAAGAAATGTGCCTTACAGAATGCAAGCTCAGCAGAGATCAATGAAGCATTAGGGCAATGATGAAGAAACTCAAGCTGCAAGGACAGGTGGGAAGGAGGGAGCACATTTCTGTTATAACAGCCAACAAAAGCATCAGATGTGCATCTGATAGGCTCATATTTCTGTTCAAACACAGCAGAGCCAGTAAGTAGGAAAAGTGGGCTTAGATTAAAGGGGGTCTCAGAGTATCTAACATACGTGCTGCTGCACTCCCCGATTCGGGATGTATACCTCTGTAAACAGGGGTTCGACAGCCGTCTGGCCTGCCGCATCTGCAACAACACAGTGCAAAGCAGGATTAGAGCCGGTGTCTGCCCATCAGAGGAGGAATGGGAAGAGACCAATGACACAGGAAAATATAAATCTAACTCAGAAAGAGGCAAGAAGACGAGCTAAAGTGGAAAAAGAGCCATTTGTAAACACCTGTGAAGGTCGGCGTTTCATGTATCTACACAGTACTGACATCGGTGCAATTTATATTAATGCAGCTACATCTGATGACTTAAAACACTTTTCTACAGTGCGAGCAATGAGTAAGACACTACAAACCAGACAGTAAGATGAGGAAAACAGACTGTAGCGACACAAGCATGCAGACGGTTGATTATGCACATATCGAACTGTATTATAAACTGTGTGATACTTCAGGAAAATCATTTGCAGTAGTTCTGCACCATCCAATGTGAAGTGAATGAGCTGAATGAATGAACAACACTGCAGTCTCAGAGTAGGGTCAGCAGGTCAACAAGAAGAACCAAATATATATCACATGATAATCACGGCGAGTGATCACAGGATCACTTTTATGGACCAATCTGCAGTGTTGTGATAATACATACTGTAGCAGCAGACCGCCCTGGTCCTCGTTGGGCCACTATAGCCCCAGACACAGCCTTGATCCAACTGTGCATCTCCTCTGGACTGTCAGCCTAAAGAAGAAAGTCATGATGTACAGCACAGAGAAACATAACTTCGAACAGGAACTATTTATTACTGGCAGTTTACCAAGATCGTACCTGTATGTAAAAGGTTCTAGATGTGGTGACCACTTCGAACAGATTATCTCGCATCATGATATCACTGCCGCAAAATAAAAGAAACGCTTAAAACCTTTTGCATCATCATGAAAATTAGTGCAATAATAATCTCAGTCAGACAAAAATCATACAATAAAGATCTGTTTATTACCTCTGTTTACACTCTTGGACTTTATGAACTTCTTTTAGTGGAATCATCCGGAGGGGCTCCTTTTCCTATGAAAACCATTCACAATTTTTTAAACACTGAGATCTAGGAGGCAGAATTCTCATATTCAGCAGAAAGTCTACCACAAACTACCGGAGGGCACATGACAGTTTCAAAGAAGAGCAAAGACTCTGGTCTGTTCACATTCAGGAGATACTTCAAATCACAGATGCCTTTGTGACTTGGGACGTGATTAAAGTTTGACAACATGGATAAAGCCATCGTTGACAATAGAACATTGTATGGGAGGCCTTGCCTTTTGTTTGGGACAGTCAGTGTTAAAAAGGGGCAAGAGGGTAACAACAAGACATGCAAAGACATGTATTGTGAATGCAAAGAATTCCACTGAAATAAACGTGTTACAGCTTGTTACAACAGCGGGGAAATAAAACCAATTTGACAATAAGATTTACCAAATCAGATTTGAAATAGCTCATAGAGTTTTCCTCCAGCAGGAAGTAGCGTCTTTTCCAGTTCCTCATCTGGAAATACATGAATTTCTTTGAAAGTACATATCACTTTGAAAGACATATCACTGTTACAGATCGGGGGAGAGTCCTACCACAGCTCCTTGCTTGACACAGTATCCAGATTTGATGACTGCCTGTTCCTGTGAAGGCCTTCCCAGGAAGTACGGCAGCTGACCGTGGGAGCGGTGCATGGCCTCACGATCGCCTTTCTCTGGGCCATCAGCCCCTTCCTGCTGGAGAAACAGTCAGCCCCTTCTTTAATACACAGGTTCCACACATACAGTATAATCCACTTGAATCATGTTTTCAACACTTGGTTCATGAGAGAAAAACATTTTCTTACTTGTGTCTGGGTAACAATGGGAACTCCTCCAATAATCTCTGTCCTATAGGAAACTTGTTTCTTGGTTCCAACGACATCTGGCAAACTTCTCTGAATTTCGGAGTTGGGCTGGGCATCGGACAATTTTGGCACCTGAAATGTGGACATATTTATTTATTTACCGTTTGTCATAAGGAAGGTCAATGTTTCATTGGGTATGGGCTCACAGTGATCTTTGTAGCTTTGTTCAGAGCGTTGACCCAGTCCACAAGGTCTTGCTGGTCATTGGCTTGAAGAAAAAACTTTCTCATTCCAGCATTTATCACTAAAAGAAAGGAATCATTTTGGACAAATTATTTAAAGTCACATTTTAGCTTTGTGGAGCAGTAACAGTCACTGTAGAAAGTGTATTGTATATAAGCCACAGTGTCATGGTTTGACATTAAAGTCGTATTATTCCGATTTTTATACTCTCTGGACTCTCATGCTCCACACCCTCTGAACAAGCAGAGGGAGACGTAGAAAATGATCAAGTCAGACAATGAATATGAAAGAATGAGTCGTTCTTCAGATGATACAGTTTTGCAGCTTTAACCGTCTTCATAATTTCCTGTCTATACTGTGGGAAAACACAAGATGAAGAGATGACACATAATACTGGTGGGCGAGAGCCGCAACGCCAACAAAAAGCATATTCTGTTGTACAGTACAGTCCAATACTATTAGGAACACTTCATACAAACATTGTACAAAATGTTGACGTGAACTTAAAATAAGAAAGTAAAGTATTTCATTATTTTCTGGTTTGGCAACAAATTTGAAAGAGGTTCAGCTAAGGTTAGGAATTGCCTTATGACAATGCTGCTACACAACTTATTCCTCTCATCTTGTGACACGCTTCTCCAATTCCTCTCTGGTCAACCCGTTACAAAACAGATCTAAATTTTTCATCCAAATCCTTGAAAATCAACCAAAAAATCTTATGTAATTATAGCTCAAAGAGATCTTACCAAAGCAGAATTCTGCCTTGGGCCTCAGCTTTGTGGCATCGCTGACCTGACAGAGAAAGTTCAGAGTTGGAACAGCAGTACAACATTTTACACCTTTAACAATGCACTTCCTACAATAATTACCTTGGAGATGTAGGTGAGTTTGAGGGAGCCCACACAGGCCGCTCCCACGGGCAAGTTCTGGAAAACAGGAGAAAGATACAAGGAATAATCGGTTAAGTATATTTCAGTGACATTTAATTATTAATTTAAGGTGTTGACTCGCTTCAAACATGTTAAACGGCTTTGGTTCAACATCCTACATTTATACCGACTGTGTTTATAGCTTTGCCTGGTGCAGACTCTGAGACAAATCTTACAAATAAATAGTTTCAGTAAAAAGCAAATAAGTACTTTTTTTTTTTTCATCCAGCCATTTTTTTATATGTGCTGAGGGTTAAAGCAGGACCTGGATATTTAACATTAAATTTGAATGTTTATAGCCTATAAAAAGAAGTTGCATATGCATTATTAAAAGGAACCCTCCACTGTAGACTGTTTATAAATTCTTAATGTACAAGGGCTCTTAAAATGAACACATAAGAAGTCATTTGAATGGAAGCAGAGGACAAAGTAACATAACAATGGTAAAAACCCAAAGCAGATTGCAAAAAGATTTTTAAACCAGATGACCCAGTTTCTGATGAGGCCGTTGGATTTACCTGTGGGTTGTCCATGAACCAGACCAGGCTCCCCTGTTGCGTGTCCAGTATGAAGTAACGACGCAGGAACTTGCCACTGTTCTCATTTTCCTCGATGTCCAGGAAACCACAGATGCGGTTCTGTCGGTCCACGTAAGGCATGGGTGGGTGTGGGGAGCACTGACCACACAAACTATTCCTGAAGTCAAAATGGAGATAAACCAGTTATGGCAGTTAAGCAATTTTAGGCATTTCTTTAGGCTCTTTAAGTTAGGAACCATAGAAGATGTTTGGGCTCCGTTAGTTAGTTTGTCTAACATAATAAAATGATTCAATTATCTGTGAATTATTTTGAAACCATATCAATTCATGGTCCATGGGTTAAATGATTGCCTTTTCCCATTTTGCTACATCATCCCCTCTTCAGTCACCCACAAAATTGCTTGCTTTGTATATTTCTACCTCCATCTGTTCCGGTTTGCGACTGTCCCCTTTCCCTCCCAGTGTGTCTGTGCCAATCCTCCTGCTCCTGTGATCTCATTTGGCAAGCCTCTGACCAGCCCCTTCTGTCTCCTCCTCTTGACCCTCAGTTAAGCTGCGCATCACCCGCAGCAAATTCAAAAAGCCAATAATTGACTTCTTAGCTGTTAAGACATGTCATATCTAACTTGGAAAAACATTCAACGCTTTATGTCCCAAAGTATCAGAATAGCTATGAGCTCCTGAATCCAAGATATTTCCCACAATTGTTTCCCTACATGTTTCCCGTTATTGATTATAGTGCTCTCTTTTACAACGTTTCGGGACTAAACATTGTGTCTGTTTAACGTAACATTTCTGAAAAAGTATATCATCTATAATCACTCCATCCTGACCACCGGTACCAGCAGTGGACCGTAGGAACCAATGTTAAGTCACTGATGCCATTGCCCTTTGGATTTACTCTTAACTTTTCAAAAAATGTCTTCTTACTTGAGTAATTTACTTAAGGGAACGCAATTACTCTGTCATGTCCTATCAATGAGTTTTTGTAAGCCACTCCATCCATACATTTTTTGAGAAACTCCAAAAAAACAATTGCCATATGATCTATAAATCACAATTCACAACCGTTACTTTGTTGATACCTTCATTAGTTCAGTTCTTGTTTATATTCCATACAGCATTTGATTATATAAGACTAAAATAATCCAAAGACATTCTAATGATGCAATCAATAACTCATTCATATAAAAGCTGCATTTTATTCCTGTCCTCTGGAGAAGAAGTTCCAGTCAGCCTTTATCTGAACAGCCAGATAAAGGCTCTCTTTCTGCAGGCCTCTGTCCGAGTGGGTGGATGGGACAGGGCTGGGACAAAAGGCCTGCTTGTTTTTGTGTATGGACTCAGAGTAGAGAGCTGCACAGTTCAGGGTTGTCCTATATGACACAGACACTCGTAAATGCAAGTTCAATAGCTGAAATTGTAATAATATACATGTCCTGTTCAGCCTTGTACATTACTCAGCAAACAATAGCCCTGGCTAAAACATTTTAGTGTGTAACATGTGCTCATGAAACGTACTTGTCCCGAACTAATAAACCCCACATAAGACCAATAAATGTGGGCACTGAGAAACAAATGGATTTTAGGACTTGCAAAAAGCTTTGAGAGAGGAATAACCAGAGTCTCATATGTGCATAAATCTAAATGCACAAAAGTACTAGTCGTTGAAAACTTGTTTTACCTTCCAAGCAAGACACGAGACAGATTTAGCCTTTCAAGTTCCACCACTTCAAAACCAACTCTAAAACAAAGATCCGGTCTGATTAGAGCAAAAACAGGTCTACAGTAGAACACAAAATCTAAAGTGGTTTTAATATGTTCAAGGGGACAATCTGGTTTCAAACGTGTATTAAAAGGCAAAACCAGCTTCAATAAAGAGCTGAAGGGCGAACCAGGTCGAAAACTATACTGTAGAAAGCATAGACAGACAAGATGTGCAGAAACAAAAGGACTAAACATTGACCTCTGCCGTGTGTGAGAGAAATACATTACTTATTATGTGTACACTACACTATAAACGTAGGTAATACTTTGCCATGTGAAACTTAAGTTTGCCCGGTTGGTAGAGTACATCATTACCGTGTCTGGTTGTATTCACACTGCATGGTTGTATCACATATCAGCACACAAGCTTTTTCAGCAATTGATAATAGTCCACTTCATGAAAACGATGCAAATGAGTGGCACCAATGTCTTTTTTATTGTTATTACTAGTCCAGCTAAAAATTATTTAAGATTAAGAGATCCTTTATTTGTCCCACAGTGAGGAGATTTCAGTGTTGCATCACCAGTTACAGAACAGTAGGAATGAGTAGCAACAATAAAATAAAAAATCTCTGACTCTAGCACGAAGAAGAAACAAGTATAATTCTTCTTCGTGCTAGAGTTAGAGATTTTTTATTTTCACTTTTGCATAATGAGTACAGAAATCTCTAACTTTAGCATAATAAAGAAGTCTAAAATTCTACCTTTGGCATAATAAGAAGCAAGTTTTATGAATACATTATTACAAGAGGCAAAAGTTCAATCCCATAACCAGAGTTCATGAAGAAATATTAGGCTGTGTTTGTGTTAAGGCATTGTCTGTCATCACTTACAGACAACTGGCTTCACACTGGAAGGCCACACATCAGAGAGGGCCAGCTGCTCGTCATGATGCTGGTGTAACTACCAACTCTCCACAGATCTCCTGATATAAAAGTGACTACACTGTTACTCTATTGATGCACTGAGGTTAACTTTCCTGCGAGCCAGTGCCATACCGTCAGGCTGGTATTGACAGGACAGTATCGAGCTGCTAGCCCCACTTTGCCCAATGAGAACAGCTAAATGCCTGACACTGACGTACTTATCTGGGGTCACTACTTTACAGCCCAAACCGATCCTTTTTAGTCATTCAGACATCCACACGAGTTATTATTAAAAACATGTTGTATGCTAGCGCCACAGTATGAAGTGCAGAGACGAGCAATCACAGAGAAGCTAAGCTAGCGCCATGCTAGTCCTGTTGTCACGTTATTTACCATTATTTACGTCCTTCGCTGAATCTATGAACTGTAAGTCTTTAATAACCTGTCCGATCCCACTTACCCAACTCCTGCCTGTTTAGACAGATTCGTGCCCTCAGCCCATCTCCACCATGAGCTCGGCGCAGACTGCTCCTGCCTGGTCCTGGTCTTGGTCTTGGTCCTGATCCTGGTCCTGGTCCTAATGCGCCCAAGGGTGCTCCCTGGTGGCGGCGCTTACAGATGTTTCACTCGTATTAACGATTACTTTGGACTTCTCTTTGTGTCTGAATGCTGCTTATTCTTATCGTTTGCGTAGTAGATGTGAAACAAAAGATAGGATTGTGTCAGTATGGATGGATTTTCCCCCAAAATAGAAAGTGGGCTTTGCGCCATCTAGTGGGTTTATGTTGTTATAGCCAAAATACGTCATTATTTCACTCAGCAACACGGCTGTGCTTTTTATTTTGTTTAACCTAACTGTAGGTTAGATTAATGTAATTTTTTGGGGGGTTTTGTATATTTTTCTATTTAGTAATTTTTTTGCTGAAGTCAATATTTTTGTATTTTTTTGGTAATTTAGATATTTTTGTAGTTTTGTAGGTTTACTTCAGTTTGGTTTAGTTTTTTGTTAAGTGGCACCTAGGGGATATAAGGGGGCAGTACAGGGCGGGCCTTCATGCACCTGGGTGGGCCTATGGTTTTTTACCAGTTCTGAGAGATGCCGCATTTTTGTGTTGTTTGCCTGCAACTTTGTGAATAAACCTTTTTTGAACTTTATATTTTGTTGAATGGATATTTGTTTATTTTGTACTGCGTAAACCACTTACCCATGGTGCATTCTAGTGATTATTTGAGATTGGTCTTAAGTTTGGTTACATTCAGTTTGATAGTCTGTTTTTTGACAAATAGTCACTACACTAACGTCAACGTACCCAACTCTTTGTTTAATATATTTGTTTAATACAAATATATGTATTTGTAAATGGTCATTGGTCATTTTGTTTTGTATTGTCCACTTTACTTTGAGCTTCGAAACATTTTATTTGAAAAAGTAAATGCTTCTAACCCAGAGGTCTTTTGTGGCCGGAGGGAGAAATTATGAACTGGATGTACTGCCATGAAGTGTTTGCCTTTGCTTCTTTTGTTGCTAAAGCCTGGGGGAGGAGACAACAGATTCTGTACCCTGTATAATGCACCAAATTGTTTTCTGTTTTTCATGTCTGTATATGGTCTATAGCCATCAGAAGTTATTGTTCAGTGTCATATAAGCCCATGTGGGCTGGGCACTTTTGTGCATGACACTTAAATAAATAAACTCAAACATATGTATATGGTTTTCACATGCATCTATTCTTTTTTCCTCAAAGGTGATTTAAAAAAAAAAAGCTGATTTATAGTTGTGACCGTCTTATCTTTAGATCAGCTTTTTAAAGATGAAAAACGTTCCAGAGAAAGACAGCATGAGGTCTGATTTGTCAAAATGGTACTAAAACAGAATTATTTCTGTTGTGACAAACAAAGAGCATTTAAAAAAACAGATAAAGTAAGGGACACCAACTTTAATGATCCCAAATACAGAGAAATAAATACATTTTATTTCAAGCATTACTTCTTTTTTATCAGCCGAGGCCACTCATTTAGGCCAAACATAAATCTCCAGAAAAGGTGAAAAATCTTCTTTACCAAACATTCTGGGATGAAGCGTCAGGTCCATGAACTCCAAACCCACAAATATGAAAAGTGAATGCTTGTTTTAAATGTATTCCGCCTGTATCATTTGCTGTCTCACAGGTCTCTACTTATTTCAGAATCATATGTGAAAAGTTACAACCCCAGCTGTACACTCCTTTATATTTAAAATTAAGGTAGAGTCATTTTAATTCATCAGAGGACAAAACTACAGGGCATCAGCTCTGTCTAGCCATCCATCCATCCATCCATTTTCTACCCTTTAATCCATTTCTGGGTCAGGGGGGTGGCAGTCAGAGATGCCACCCAAGTCTCATAGCACCAGCCCCTCACTGACCCTCTGCAGGTGGTGAGTCCACAGGAGGATGGCTGCTCTGAGTGTGAGCATAGCCTTGATCTTTCAGTGGGGGCTTTGGGCAAAGTGGGGTTAAGTGTCTTGCCCAAGGACACAACGACAGCAGTCATCAGTGGGAGTCGGTGGAGAAGGTGCAGAGGTGGCTCTGTCTAGCCATTTGTTTGTATTCCAATTGTATGTTTATATTTGTTTGTTCCAGTTTAAATTGTTGTACTATTTTTTTCAGGATTTTAAGAGAAAATGGGGAAAGAGGATGGCATCACCGCACGCTATGTGGTGCAAAACTAACAGTACTTTTCCTTCAGTGCACCAATCCCAGTGGTAAACATGGAGCATCATGGTATGGGCCTGTTTTTGTTGTACAATTATGGGAAGATGGATGGAGCCAAACACAATTTCACTTTGGAAGAAGCAAAACACTTGAGGGTGGAGATTTACCATCCAGCAACAAATATAAAGCCAGAGCTGCATAGCCCAGTCAAAGTCCAGACCTAAATCCAAATGAAAATCTGTGGAAAGACGTGAAAACTACTGGTACAATGTTCACATCTAATCTGACAGAACTCATGGTTTTGTAAAGACGAATGTGCAAAGCTTGTAGAGCAACCCGAAAGGCTTTTAATGTGATCAAATGTGCACCTTTTCACATTAGTAATTCTGCCACAGGTGTTTCTGCACTGTCCTGTTTGTAAAATGAACTGTTCATCTATAAATATTGTATTATTTATGATATATATGGTATGTATGGTATATATAATGTATATGATATATAATATATAATTAGGTTTGCTTGGATCGGTTTGCACACCTGGTGTGCAATCCATGAATCTCTTTATTCAAGGCTAGGTTTAAAACAGTCCTCTTTATTTTAGCATATGGTTAGGAAGGTAAGACTCGGGGAAGGCTAAACTCCTCAGAGTGTCAGTCAAGCTGCATAGGGAGTCAGTTTGCTGGGAGAAGTATGGTAACTTGAGCACTATCCTCTCCTCCTTCCTACTTTATCTACTTTATCTGTTTAGCACTTTTAGGATTCTGACTGTAGTTTGTTCATTGCTATTCACCCGTTGTCCCATTGTCTGTTTCATGGTACGATGACGGGATCTCTGAGCCTGGCCTCTTCCATCTACACCTGCGGACTGCCCCGCCCGACCCACCTGGGAGTGCTTTAGTCCTGCACCGGACCTGTCCACGTTCAGCGGCCACTGGTCCACGTTCTGTAGCTAGCTTAGGTCCTAGATCATTAGCCTGTCCGTCCGGAGGAGCGGATCCCTTTCTCATATGGGTCTCCCTCCCTGTGGGTTTCCCTAGTGCTCCCCAAGGTTTCTCACTTTTTCCCACTGGGTTTTTTAAGAGTTTTTCCTTGTCGATGCAGGAGGGTCTTGTTGGACAGTTAGTGTCCAACAGAAAGAATTGGTGATGATCAGGACACTTTAGCATTCTACAACATGTATGGACATTTTCTTCTGTGTGTGCTTTATATTCTCCATGTGTTTTGGCTGTTGATTCTCTGACCTGTGTTGGTGATTTCAATGGTTTTGTTAAGTCCTCTGAGATGACTTCTGTTGTGACCTAGGGCTATACAAGAATAAATTGTATTGTAAATTGTATAAATAAATACACCAAAAACAAATATACCAAAAGTAATACACCGCTGCAGGGCTATGTGCATGTGGGTGTGCATAAGTTAACCATCTGCACCAGGAATTAAAGTCATGAAATGTTTTTAACTGTGTAGAATATGTAAAGCAGAGAGAACATCTCCATGGTTACTTGAACAGAACACACAACCGGCCATGTTGTGATGCGATATTCTACTGTTGAAACAAGTCTACCTTTGGTTATAGATTTTTGGGGCAATGATATTCGCAATAAAACAATCTCCCTCTTCCTTGCTCCTCTCTCTCTACCTCTGTCTCTCTCTTTCTCTCCCTCCCTCTCTCTCCTCTCTCTCTCCTCTCTCTCTACCTCTCTCTCTCTCTCTTTCTCTCTCTCCCTCTCTCTCCTCTCTTTCTACCTCTCTCTCTCCGCCTCTCTTTCTCTCTCCTCTCTCTACCTCTCTTTCTCTCTCTCTCCTCTCTCTACCTCTCTCACTTTCTCTCTCTCTCTCTTTCTCTCTCCCTTCCCCCCTCTCTCTACCTCTCTCTTTCTCGCTCCTCAGCGCTCCCTCGCTGCCTCACAGCCCTCCTCCAGGTGTCGTGTTTAAGAGGAGAGAATCTCTGTAAATTATAGTCTACATTTCTCCGACAGCGGGCCTGGACCAAACAGCAGCAGATATTTTTTCGAACGTTTATTCATCCATTGATACTAGTTTGATATGAAGGTGTGAATGTGCCTGAAAGTACCGGCGCATCATCAGCATGTCCAGCCTGGAATATGACCATGTGGAATACGCCAGGCCTCCGAAACGGCTTAAGACCGAGCTGTACGAGAAGAGACCCGAAAAGGACGAGGCGCAGGATGGAGAGGAGCTGGAGGAAGGGGAGGATTCTGACTGCAGCTCTCCGCTCGCCTCTGCACAGACTGCAGCAGACAGCAGGGGCCGCTGGGCAGGCCCCGCGCAGAAGGTGACTATCACATGCACATAACTTCACTGTGTCTGCAGGATACAGGTGCGCGCTTACATCACCATAGAGAAAGACAGACACTCTATCGCCACTTTCCTTTGGCTGTAATAGTGTCCTTCTGTTGTAGGATAATGTGGAAGACTTGCACCGCCACTCTCCCAGTCCTGTGGTCCATGTTCGGGGGTTGTGCGAGGCCGTGGTGGAGGCTGACCTTATTGATGCCCTGCAGAAATTTGGCACCATATGGTGAGCAGACCCCGCACAGTTGTCATGTGGTTATCTTCAACACCAAAAGCAAGAGACACTGCACAACCATGTTGCACAAGTCAAGTTCACTTGTTTGGTTCTTTGTTTCATGTATTTCCTGTAAATATATTGTATATTTTACATTATTTCAATACAATATTCCTTTTGCTTGTCAAGTACTATCTTTGATATAGTTTTCTGAATGGACAATGCGTATAATACTATTTCAACAGAATATTAAGAAAGATTAAGATTAAGAGATCCTTTATTCGTCCCACAGTAAAGTTCTCAAACTGTCCATTAACCCCTTGAGGTTCCTGTGTTTGTTGTTCTTTACTCAAATGGAACACTGGACCAACTCCAAACACTCCATCTGGTATTCAAAGACTCATGGGAGTTTGCTTAACCTGTCCACATGTGCTTTGTGGATCTGGAAAAGGTGTTCGGCCTTGTTTCCTGGGGGATCCTTTGGGGAGTTCTCTGCTGAGGACAAGATCCTCAAGGATATGAGTGTAGATACATGCGTTTGAAATGAGTTTCCTCTGCTCATTGGCTGGGCAGTCCCTTAGGACTGGAGGAGCTTGGAGTAGAGCCTCTGCTTCTCCACGTTAAGAAGAGCCCGTATTGGCACGTAGAGGTGGCCCGTAGAGGGCTCTTCTTGTGTGTCCACTTCAGAAAGTTGCATACTGTTGATTTAAGGCGTTTTTTTCCTCCAGTTATGTGATGATGATGCCGTTCAAACGCCAGGCCCTGGTGGAATTCTCTGATGTGGAGAGTGCTAATCAATGTGTCTCCTGTGGCACCAAGAAGACGGTGTACATTGCAGGTGAGAAGGACCACACTTCCCTATTCTGTATTTTCATTTTACTGTAGTTGTATAACAAATTCAAATCAGTTATTATAAAATGTCAGAACTCGGTTGTCGTAGAATTTATACCCACACAACTCAGCAAACCTTAGAATAAAAGTAGTTGTCCGAAGCTATTTATTGTTAAATCCATTGTTGTGGATGAGGTTTTAAGCCTTTCTGATATCCACTTATCAGGAGGGGCGACAGTAGCTCAGTTGGTAGAGCATTGGCCTTAAGGCCAGAAGGTCGTGGGTTCAATTCCCACCTCTGCACCTTCTCCACCGACTCCCACTGATGACTGCTGTCGTTGTGTCCTTGGGCAAGACACTTAACCCCACTTTGCCCAAAGCCCCCACTGAAAGATAAAGGCTATGCTCACACTCAGAGCAGCCATCCTCCTGTGGACTCACCACCTGCAGAGGGTCAGTGAGGGGCTGGTGCTATGAGACTTGGGTGGCATCTCTGACTGCCACCCCCCTGACCCAGAAATGGATTAAAGGGAAGAAAATGGATGGATGGATGGATGATATCCACTTTCTTGGTTTTACTGCAGATTGCCATAAACTCAATCTTGTTGATACAGCTGAGGTAAAAAGCTTCCAGTTCCTGTAAATTCCTGGGCTGCCATGCATGAACATTTGCGATCACTCCAGAGCACCTCAATAAATGGCTTCACTCAACCATCTATGAGTGAAAACATTTTTTTTTTTTTTTATTCAATTCAATTCACTTTATGTATGGACCTAAATCACAACAGCAGTGTCTCGAAGGACAAAACTGTCAATTCGCCAACAACAGATCAGAGAAAGTTTGAACAAAGGACATGCAAAGATAACAAACACATAGGAGCCATTGATCCACAGGGAGCGGGATGACACTGTCCATAAAATTCCATAAATGTCCGTAAATGTCCACAAATGTCCTTGAATGTACTTAATTGTTTTTAATCGCCTGGATCATCACTGTCCTTAGACCCTAATGTTTTCATAGTTTTGACTTTTGTGGTCATAACTATGAAATTGTTGTGTTCATGAAATCGGTATATACAGTGGGGCAAAAAAGTATTTAGTCAGCCACCGATTGTGCAAGTTCTCCCACTTAAAATAATGACAAAGGTCTGTAATTTTCATCATACACTAGGAATTCACATTGTAGGATTTTTAAAGAATTTATTTGTAAATTATGGTGGAAAATAAGTATTTGGTCACTTCAAACAAGGAATTTTTTCTCCAAACAGCAATTATCAGAAAATGGAAGACATACAAGACCACTGAAAAATTCCCTTGATTGCAAGATCTCATCCCGTGGGGTCGAAATGATCATGAGAACGGTGATCAAATATCCCAGAACCACACGGGGGGACCTGGTGAATGACCTGCAGAGAGCTGGGACCAAAGTAACAAAGGTTACCATCAGTAACACACTACGACGACAGGGAATCAAATCCTGCAGTGCCAGACGTGTCCCCCTGCTGAAGCCAGTGCATGTCCAGGCCCGTCTGAAGTTTGCCAGAGAGCACATGGATGATACAGCAGAGGATTGGGAGAATGTCATGTGGTCAGATGAAACCAAAGTAGAACTGTTTGGTATAAACTGAACTCGTCGTGTTTGGAGGAAGAAGAATACTGAGTTGCATCCCAAGAACACCATACCAAGTGTGAAGCATGGGGGTGGAAACGTCATGCTTTGGGGCTGTTTTTCTGCTAAGGGGACAGGACGACTGATCCGTGTTAAGGAAAGAATGAATGGGGCCATGTATCGTGAGATTTTGAGCCAAAACCTCCTTCCATCAGTGAGATCTTTGAAGATGAAACGTGGCTGGGTCTTCCAGCATGACAATGATCCCAAACACACCGCCCGGGTAACGAAGGAGTGGCTCCGTAAGAAGCATTTGAAAGTCCTGGAGTGGCCTAGCCAGTCTCCAGACCTCAACCCCATTGAAAATCTGTGGAGGGAGTTGAAAGTCCGTGTTGCTCTGAGACAGCCCCAAAACATCACTGCTCTCGAGAAGATCTGCATGGAGGAATGGGCCAAAATACCAGCTGCTGTGTGTGCAAACCTGGTAAAGACCTATAGTAATCGTTTGACCTCTGTTCATGCCAAAAAAGGTTATATTACATATATTAAGTATTGAGTTCAATTTTTGTTATTGACCAAATACTTATTTTCCACCATAATTTACAAATAAATTCTTTAAAAATCCTACAATGTGAATTCCTAGATTTTCTTCTCACATTCTGTCTCTCACAGTTGAAGTGAACCTATGATGAAAATTACAGACCTCTGTCATTATTTTAAGTGGGAGAACTTGCACAATCGGTGGCTGACTAAATACTTTTTTGCCCCAATGTATGTGCTTGTACTTGTTTTAGGCCAACAAGCTTATTTTAACTACTCCACATCCAAGAGAATCACCAGACCCACCAATGCAGACGACCCCAGCAGTGGCAACCAAGTACTGCTCCTGTCCATTCAGAACCCACTCTACCCCATCACCACGGTAAGGACACTCCCTCCAGTGCGTGGGTTTGGAATTAATTTGGACTACTTTTTCCTTTTCAGGATGTGTTGTACAAAGTGTGTAATCCCATAGGAAATGTGCTCCGGATTGTCATTTTCAAAAGGAATGGGATCCAGGCTATGGTGGAGTATCCTTCTGCAGCGGGGGCTTGTGTGGGTGTGTTTTTCTGAATATAGCTATCTCCTTGACTGCAACACTTTCAGGTTTGAATCAGTACAGTTTGCACAGAAAGTCAAAGCAGCATTGAATGGAGCAGATATATATGCAGGCTGTTGTACCCTGAAGATTGAGTATGCACGGGTGAGTCACGTTGTATGATAGAAATTGTTCCATTTGAAGTTACTTGCGTATGCTAGGTATGCTTTTGACCTATATTTGTCTATCTTTACACAGCCCACACGTTTGAATGTAATCAAGAATGACAATGAGAGCTGGGACTACACAAAACCCTATCTAATGAGAAGAGGTGAGCTTTTCTGGATATAGAATCATACTTATTGATACCAAGACTCCTGCACTTTGTTTTTCTCCAATCAAACACTCTCATCAGTCACTCACCCCCAGTCTGCACGCGGCCCCTGCCTCAGACTCGCCCACAACTCTGCCCCACCACCGTGGGCCTCTCTAGTCTCTTAAGTGTATGACGTTTCAAAATACAGTACAACTCGCAGCACGCTTTCTAAGTAAAATCCGTGTTAACAAATCCTCGGTCTCCACTTGTCAGGACTTGGGACAGTCTAACGCAGTGTGAGTGACAGCAGCTGAAAAAGCTGCAGTTCAGTGGAGTATGCATCCAAAGTGCCACAGGTAATGTCTGCTTCTTTTCTTGCCACTGCCATCAACATTTATTACCAGGTGAATTTGCCAACTGCATTATTTTCCGCACACACTGATGGGAGGATATTTAGTATTCCACTAATTCCTGAGAGTTTCGTTTAACTGAAAGAATCATTTACACGTTTGTTGGTTTGTTTGGCTATATATTTATTTGGTACATGTTAAATATGGCACAATTGAATCATTTTTTTATCACAAGTAAACAGGGTATAAAACACTGTTTGAGGTGCTCCAAAACACATGCAGAATGACAAAGAAGGTAAGATGCTCTGTGCTGTGACAAAACTAATGAATGCTGTACTACAGTATATGCTATCACCCGGATTCGAACCTGGGTCGCCGTGTTATGAGTGCTGCATCTCAACCATTAGACCGCTAATACATCCAGCACTATAAATGAGAGACAACTTATTCAAACCATTTGGATTCATGTATGTAGATAGCCTTCCAACACCAGACTAAAGTGAATATTGTGTTTTAAATGATGTAGCTGAGTGTACACAGCAGCACAAGTATTTCCTGGCTAGTCTGTTGACACTTTTACTCACAAAGAAAAATCAAATGTTTTAATGCACTACTGGTCCTAGAAAATACAACCATGGCCGCGATGATGAGAGTGTTTTGGGGATCTTCAATACTACTTTGACCAAAATCCTTCAGTGGAGGTAGAGCATAATCCTAAATGTTGGTTTACTGACTTGCTCTGGTGTTTTTCAGAGCGTGGTAAGGGTCGACAGCGTCGGGCCATATTAGGAGAACACCCGCTATCCTACAGTGATAGTAGTTATGGTAACAACTTTACATTAGGACATTAGGACACAGTTTGACCTGGTGATTGTCAAGGCTTGTACGTGCAGGTCCACTGGGCTCTCTGCTGCCTTTCCCTCGCAATGGCGGATACAAGCTAACGTCAATGGATGTCCCAGATATGGTGTCTTACCCTCTGCCCCAATCATCCAGCCCGTTCTCGGGACAGCCCCCAAGTTCTGTTGCCATGGTGAGCGGCCTGCATCCAGCCAAAATGAACTGCACCCGTATTTTCAACCTCTTCTGCCAATATGGAAACATAGAAAAGGTAGGTGAGGTTTAAGAATAACAATCATTCAATTTGCTTCTCAGAATGTGCCCTTTTACTAATTCACTGCATTTTAGCCTGGGGTACCTAACTTATTTTCTCGATCAATAATATATTTTGTTTGAAGTTCAAGAGAGATGAGTGCTACAGTGGGTCAATTCTAGTCAGGTGCTCATCTGGATCAGTAGTGACCAAAACACTGGAAACATTGAAGAAAGGAGAACAATCTGAGGCACTCTTGAGAATAAAATAAAAATCCTTTAATGAACTGAGTTTAAGCAACGGGTTTCGGTGCCTCGGATATTTCTCCTATCTTCAATATATTTTGTTTGTCCCAATAGAAACAAATATGACTGTTGCATACTATATATATACTAAACAATATACTATAAGAAACCATGTGAGATTATTTGATGCTTTGGGCTGAGATTTAATTGGCCCAGAGCTCTGTGTCAGTGTTCTATATTTTATTTCGTCTTTATATCGGCCAAAAAGCTGATGAAATATGTGAGAGAGGCCAAGAAATCTATGTGAAAACTAGTGATAGAACCAAACTATTTTGAGAGCAAGAAAGTTAGACGGATTTGATTATATTTCATTACATACAGTACATGCTGATTTTTGTGTGGCTTGAAATTAGCTTTAACTGTCATATTCAGGCCCAAACACTTCCTATTATCATGCATGAGCCTTTGGTCTGAGTTAAATATTTTGCACTCACAATCACTGTAGGTGAAGTTTATGAAGAGTGTTCCTGGGACTGCGCTGGTGGAGATGGGAGATGAGTATGCAGTAGACCGGGCCATCACTCACCTCAATAGTGTCAAAGTGTTTGGCAAAAGACTCAATGTCTGGTAACTATAGCTCTGTGTGCACGTATCTGAATAGACTGCCAGTGCTCACGCTGTAATGTGGTCTGCAGCGTGTCAAAGCAGCATGCCGTCATCCCCAGTCAGGTCTTTGAGCTGGAAGACAACAGCAGCAGTTACAAGGATTTTGCCATGACTCGAAACAATCGCTTCAGCAGTGTTGGACAGGCCTCTAAGATCATCATCCAGCCTCCGTCCGCTGTGCTGCACTTCTACAACGTCCCCCCCTGCATCTCCCAGGATTACCTCCTGAAGGTACGCTGTGTTGGATGGAGCCTCAGTTAGGACCATGGACTCCTAAAATACTATGGTTTGGACCAGTGTTCCCCAACCTTTTTGAGCCGTGGCACATCTTTTTCATTTGAAGAAATTATGTGGCACACCAGCAGCTGAAAATGTTGCAAAAATGAAACTTGACAACCTTAATTAACAATGCAAAGTCATTATGATCCAGTACATTGAATAACCAATCTATCATCTCACATTATATTCTTCCAATGTTTTTCTTGTTTTTAATAATTTAGGTAATATTGGATCATTTCCAAAGGCACACCAGACAAAATCTCAAGGCACACTAACGGGCCATGGCACACTGGTTGAGAAACACTGGTTTAGACACTTGTTCACTACATAAAGCTCTTCATCATTTTGTCATTGCGTTCTTATTTTCCCCTCTCAAGCTCTGTGTTGAGCTCAGTGTTCCCGGATTTGTCAAATTCAAGGTCTTTGATGCCAAAAGTAAGTCTCTAGCAGTCTATGTGACAAAATGTATGAATCAGAATCACAATTATTTGTATTGCTATTATTTAGTTTTTTATGATTTATGCCTGATGTGATATGGGTTGTGAGGCGTTTTGTGTTGCCTTGATATTTGACAAGCTCATAATAATCACATTCTGACATCAATTCCGCCGACAAATAAGTGTTGTTGATATGTTTTTTCCCCGTTTTTTCTTTTCTTTTCATTATAGGTTGTATGTAGACTGTATACATCAACCTACTTTTGTCTTTATAAAAAAGTCTCTCTGTTTCAGCTTCTTCCAAAACTTTATCAGGACTTTTGGAGTTTGAGAGTAAAACAGATGCAGTGGAGGCGCTGACCGTGCTCAACCATTACCAGATCAGGATCCCCAGTGAGACACACATCCAAACACATTTAACACGTTTGATTAAATACGTGATTAAAAAATACACAGAAAAGGATAGAAAAATACAAGGCACTCGGTCACTTGAGTATTCCAATCTTTTTCAGATGGCTCTAATCCATACACCCTGAAGCTGTGTTTCTCTACTTCATCTCATCTGTAAAGGATAACAGAGGAAATGGAAGAGAAAAAAAAGTTATTCTATGTCCTGCAAAACTACCGGTATAACTACTGCTTTAAACAATTTCCTGTATATTTGTGTGGATGTCATTGCAGTTTGAGAAACAGTTTTAAGTCCTGCATCAGTGATCTTATTCGTTGTCTTCAGTGCCTCATTCTCAATACATTGAATCATGCTTTTAGCGTGTGGTAGTCACACTTGTCTTAGTTTGGCTCTGGTTTGAATCTCTTTATTAAATTATCATTATGATCACGGGTTACTAGGATGACATGTTGTATTATACAACATTTTGAGTCATAAAGGCTAGACAATCATAAGTTTCAAATGTATTAGGGTAAGATTGACACATTAAAAGAATATGAATATGTGTGATTGTGACTTCTCATTTTGCTAAAGCATGTTTTATGGATGGATTTATTTTATTTATATAGGCGATGTTTATAACTTCATTTTTAAAAGAATAACGCACTTTAACAACATTAAATACATACCATTGAGCCTATATGCTGACTAAAAAACACAATGATAAAATGTTAATCAATGTTTAGTACTATAATAGCGATTGACGTCTCAATGTGTATTGTGTAACAATAAAGCATATTGTATAAACATTATTTTTCCATTTGTAGTTCATTCCACTTATGTTACCTAAATGGATATATGTAATAAAATATTTTAATTCCTAAAACTATAGTTCCTCGCTCTCAAAACAGTTTGGCTCGTGGTTTCCACATGCATGTATTTGTGGCCTCTGACACCTCTACAGTGCAGCTTTTTCACACAGTCGTTAAAATAAAGAAAATGTATTAATCGGGCCCCAGCTACATTTTGAAAAAATGTCCATTTTTCTGTGCCATGTCTTGACTGTGATGTTCAATTAGGTTGTTCTCAATGCAGTCAGCAGAGGGCGCACTTGATCTTCATGATGAGGCTGTGGAAACTACTGTGATTTTACTGTCTAGTATGGATCATAGACTGTATAACAGGTATCGTTACTGATGACAAACTACATGTTGAGGTCGCAGTTATATTGTAGTTCTGTAGTTGATGTCACGTGTATGTGAATGAAGAAAGAACCCCTGGGTGATCTGTGGCCATAGAACTGCAGAATAATAAAACTGAATGTATCATGAACTATACATTTATGTGTGTGGCGTGTCAGTTGTAACCATTCACTTACATTAGTCTGTGATAGCTGATTCGTGTTTACTTTTAAAGTAATTGTTTTGTATTAATCCTATTTTTATAGTCTATGGACCAATGAAGCAGCAGTAATGTTTTACAGTAGCAAAACATAAATAACTTGATAGGTAAAGCTAACAGTCCATCCATCCATCCATTTTCTACCCTTTAATCCATTTCTGGGTCAGGGGGGTGGCAGTCAGAGATGCCACCCAAGTCTCATAGCACCAGCCCCTCACTGACCCTCTGCAGGTGGTGAGTCCACAGGAGGACGGCTGCTCTCTGAGTGTGAGCATAGCCTTGATCTTTCAGTGGGGGCTTTGGGCAAAGTGGGGTTAAGTGTCTTGCCCAAGGACACAACGACAGCAGTCATCAGTGGGAGTCGGTGGAGAAGGTGCAGAGGTGGGAATTGAACCCACAACCTTCTGGCCTTAAGGTCAATGCTCTACCAACTACTGTCGCCCCTAAAGCTAACAGTGAAATCTGTTATCCCTGAATAAATCAATAATCAACATTAATGATTGACAGGACATTTTAATAGGTAAGTGTAAAATATGTTTCCGGCGCTGTTTGTCCCGCTCAGGCCACGTGACCGTGTTCTGTGCTCTGATTGGAAGATTTTGAAAGCGCGGAGGCAGATGATTGGTCCGTTTTGAACCGCTGCTGTAATGCGGTTCTTTCAAACGCCCGTCCACAGTATTCTTCCAGATCTGCGACACCACGGCAGGCTGCGTACTCTGTCCGTAAGTTTGTTTATAGCTCACTACAAACCTGCAGGTGTCGAGGAGACTCTTGTTTTTATATAATATTCGGTTAACAAAGTGACCTGAGCGATTATTTTAGTGTTTAAGGGGCACATCTTTGGGATTAGCTGGAGCTAGCTAGGCTAACGTTATGGTTTTTCAACGTTCGCTATGAGCCAAGATGTGCTTTTGCTATCTCTAATTTAATGTTCTATGTTTCTGACAACGGCCTGTGCTTTGTTTCAGGCAACAATGGAGGATTACTTAAAAATCGAGAAAATTGGTGAAGGTATGTACAAGTTTGTACCGTATCTGAACCACACACAAAAAACATGACCATAATGCGTCCTTGTCCTTTTGTTCACTTGTCAAAACTGCTATTGCATTTTCTAAACTTAAAATGTACTGGTCTTCAACAGGTACCTATGGTGTGGTTTACAAGGGCAGACACAAGGCCACAGGGCAGGTCGTGGCTATGAAGAAGATCCGCCTGGAGAGTGAGGATGAGGGAGTCCCCAGCACCGCTGTCAGAGAGGTGGCCTTGCTGCAGGAGTTGAAGCACCCCAATGTGGTCAGGTATGAAAGATGACAACTGTGTATTATTGTAGTAATATCATTTGTGCAGGAAGTGAAAAATAGTTTAGATTATTCACAAGGAATAGCAAGCTATAATGTATCCATTAACATTATTAAGGAACATTCACTGCTGTGTTTATATAATATACACATTAAGCTAAATGGACTTCAGATTTATAAAATAGGTTTTGTAAGTAGTTTTCACACTTTGCAGGCTGCTTGATGTTCTGATGCAAGAGTCTCGCCTTTACCTCATCTTTGAATTCCTGTCCATGGATCTAAAGAAGTACCTTGACTCCATCCCGTCCGGACAATACATGGACAACATGCTTGTGAAGGTATGACTTAATTTGGACAACACGTCAATCAAGCCAAACTAAGGCTGGGAGATAAAAGTAAAAAATAATAAAAAGGCTCACTGGCTTCACAAATGGTGGTCTCACAGAAGACCACTGTTTCATGAAAGCTTGGTGATTTTCCTGATGCATTTTTATTTTTGACTAATATTTTTTCCTCTAAATATTCAAGTTTCAAAGACCGTTAGCCAAAACATGCAAATATAATCCAATTTTGTCTTTAGTTCTGGGAGACTTGTTTAAACTCTTTCATGATTGACATTTAATCAATACACTATTAAAAGATGATTTATTGTATTCATTGCACAGCCATAGTACTTCACACATTATAAAGTCAATCACTTGCCTTTTAACTTTGCTTATTCTTGTGTACAACTTTTATTAATAAGGAATATTTTTGATTTTATAGAGTTATCTTTACCAAATCCTGGATGGAATCTACTTTTGTCATTGTCGACGAGTTCTTCATCGGGACCTGAAACCACAGAACCTTCTGATTGACAACAAGGGAGTCATCAAACTGGCCGACTTTGGACTGGCACGGGCTTTCGGGGTTCCTGTTAGAGTTTACACACATGAGGTCAGGCACTTCCTTCACTTTCCTGAATTCAGCAACTCTTTATAACCTTTGTTACTTCCAGGTGGTCACCCTGTGGTACAGGGCTCCAGAGGTCCTCTTGGGGTCTCCCCGGTACTCCACCCCGGTGGACTTGTGGAGCGCAGGGACCATCTTTGCAGAACTAGCAACAAAGAAACCCCTCTTTCATGGAGACTCTGAAATAGATCAGCTCTTCAGGATTTTCAGGTACTGAGCCAATTTCAAGTCTGGCATGTAACTGATCATCACATGTAACGTCTTATTTTTGGGGGTTTCACAGAACTTTGGGGACCCCTAATAATGACGTGTGGCCTGAAGTTGAGAGTCTGCCTGATTACAAGAACACATTTCCTAAATGGAAAGCTGGCAGTTTATCATCAATGGTGAAAAACCTTGATAAGAACGGCCTGGACCTGCTTTCTGTAAGTATTGAAACTCAAGTGATTTATCTTTTAGTTGTAGGGCAAAAAAGTAAAATCTCAATTTTATTTCCTGCTTTGGACGATTCCGATTGTCATTAATGTCACCGAAGACGGACTTGCCCTTAAACATTTTTTTAATCTCAATATTAAAGTTTCAAAACGATTTAATTTTGTTTAAATACATATTATAAAAGTCTTGTGCAGACTGCTGATGTTGCAAGTATAACTCATGTGCTGCTGAAACTCTAACAATATCCTTCGTTCGATTTCATGATTTTCACATTCGATTTTTTCAAAAGCTGATTAATTGCCTAAATTCGATGTATTGCCCAGCCCTATTTAGTTACCAAATTACTATTTACTGCAATAGTAATTATTGCAGTGGCACTTGATAGCACTAGAATCATTTCATTAACTTATCGGACAATACTTATTTAGTTCCTACCTTCAGACAAAATTCTATGCATCAGGAAGACTTCACACATTTGATGTATGGCACCTGAGTAGCAGGCATTGCTCCACACTGATTCTATACATCTTCACTGTTAATACTGGAATTGTACTTATTGTTCAATGTTTACTGCAGAAAATGCTGATCTACAACCCCCCAAAGAGGATTTCTGCACGAGTAGCCATGACACACCCATATTTTGATGATTTGGACAAGTCCACTCTCCCTGCTGCCAGTATCCAAAATATTTAAAAACTAAATACTATTATTGCATCTCATTACTCTGTGCAATTCACCCATGTAAATATGTTTGTGTGAACATTTAAATGTCTTGTATGTTTTAATAAAAATCACTTTGTGAAATAAAATGTTTATTATTCAAGTGACGTTAAAACAAGGCATGGACATCTTCAGAGCAGTGAGGATTTTAATCCAGCAAAAAACTGCTGATCTCCGCTCGCATCTGAGACCTACAAATAAAACATTTTTCAAAAAGACAACATTGTTTAACTTTCCAATCTGAGCGTACCTCCTCAGCCTCCTCTGGGCGTCTGCGAGGATGTATCCTGGCAGATGTTCCAATGACGACTGCAGGTGAAAGGACTTCAGTGAGCTTCTTTTGTAAGCACTGCTCTAAACACTTTGCTTAACATTTTTAAAACTATACTCATTACCAAGCATCTTTCAGATTGACCTTTAACACTGGCTTTAAAAGTTCAATGGGGTTTGAGCTGAAGTTTAGATAAAATAGGACTTTTCACTTACCATATCCTTGATGATTAACTGACAACTATAACACATTAGTGACTTAAGCTCCATTGGTTCCAATTTGCTGCAGGAGAAACAGTATGTAATGTACAACAAAACAAATGTAAATTCTGCTTCATCCAATATAAAACAAGATCCATGAAGTTACCTGGCTGAGGAGCAGCAGGTCCCATCTCCATGACAACGGTCAGAGCAGGTGGTGTCTACAGAGCCAAATGAAACAGGCCTAAGTCACATTACTTTTAACTGGCTTCTAGTGCATTTAAGCTTAAGTGTGATTAAATTACATTAACCAGTTTTAGGATGTTATCAGATTCTGCATAGAGCCCCATATGGGATTACCCATGCTACAGAGTGCACTAGAATCATTTCAAACTGCACACCATATTAGCTGGCATAAATTGCTAAATATTAGAGAAAAGCACATACAATAAAACTACCATATTTCAGATTTTGAAGGCTGTCATCTGGGCATTTTCTTTGTGAAAGCTGCTCTGATATCTGTGTGGCTTGAAAAGCAGATGCATTTTCTAAACAGATAAGAAAAACGGTGTTAGATACAAGTACTGATATTCACAGTAGCTTCAGACACCGTTACAGAGTACTATAATACCATTGTAAACACAACATGAATACAGACAGGCATTCAGATGCACAGGCCTCACCTGCAGAAGTGTCCAGGGCGCACAGGCACAGCTCACACCTCAGACTGTCATCCACAGCAGAGGGGGCCTTACACGCCGTCTGCAGCTTCTCACTTGTCCTGCACAGTTTGGAGATATACTCATGCATTTACAGCCGAACTCCACATTTTTGTAATACATGAACAATACATTCAACTTCATTTCAGAGCTGACTAAATGCTGTCATTGTCTCTGTGTGTTTTGGCACAAACCTGTAGATGGTGCTGACGGTGGAGGGGAAATCAGTCTGAAGTTTAGTGACAAAACTCTCTGTTAGTCTTTGAATACTGTCCTTCTCTGGGGTCTGTATTAAAACAAATAAACATTCATAGTCAGTAACATTCTGTAACTGAAAAAGTCACTTGTTGAATGTCACCATACCTTAGAGTCTAGGCCGGAGATAAAGACAGAGGGAACTTTAAATAAGTGGTTGTAGTAAGCAATTTCCTTAGCAGAGTAGTCCCTCATTGGCCTCACTGCTATGACATCACCGTAGCGAGAGTCTGAAAAGCCCTGTTTAAATACATAGTGTATTTTTTAAGTGTAAAAATATTATTTTCTGGTGAAGTTACGCGGACAAACCGTATCAAGTGCTGCCTGAGCTCCTCGGCCCAGAGAGATGTTGCTCAACAGTTTTATAGCCAGCCTGGTGCAGTTGTCCCCCAGCATGAGTTTACTATAGCCCTCGGTACGAGCTGTGTGCAACAACAAGTGCTGTCTGTGGACACACAACAATGGCACTTAATACATTTTGATTTTCATCTCAAATAAGTCTCAAAACCACTTTAATTATCTAAGGCCAGGTCCCAGGAGTGTCAAACTCTTTTCAGGTCAAATGAGAGGTGGTTATACATGCATTAAGAGTTTCGAGCTTCCGGCTCGACCGCACGGCATTGTGGGTAGTTTTGTCAAAAAGGTGGGCATCAAATCACGCTGCCAAATTGGATTACTTGTTGCGAACGTGATCTCGCTCTCTTGTTTCCAGACCATAGATTGTTTTAATATCTAAAAAATTCACCAATTTCAGACATTTTGAAGGTAAGGTAAAGATTTTTTCATTTAACAAAGAAGCAATGCATTTTTTTCTTGTGGTTTTAGATGTAAACACAACCGACTGACTATAGAGCCACATGTAGCTTATGCTACTTTCGAGGATAAATAACATTTCTGATCAGAACACACAGTGGGGACATTATTAAGAGCAAACAGTGAGCTGGCAGTATAGAGAGGTGTGCAGTAGGCTTTAAACAAAGTTATTTTCACTTAATCTCTACACACGTGAAATCTCCGTGCTTAAGTGTTAGCCTGTCCATACAGCTTACAGTACTGCCTCTGAATGTCATCGTCATCACTGAGGTCACTCCTGATTACGTGCCCCAGGTATTTGGCCTTCTCTACATTCAGAAGCTCCACACCAGACAAATATGTCCGAAGTACAGCTTTGGGTAAGTTTATAAAGCTCGCGTGTAAGCATTCGATCCTCGTAAGTAGCATAAGCTACAGTGCCTTGCGAAAGTATTCGGCACCCTTGAACCTTTCAACATTTTGCCACATTTCAGGCTTCAAACATAAAGATATACAATTTTAATTTTTTGTCATGAATCAACAACAAGTGGGACACAGTCGTGAAGTGGAACGAAATTTATTGGATAATTTAAACTTTAAAAAAAAAATAAAAAACTGAAAAATGGGGTGTGCAATATTATTTGGCCCCTTTACTTTCAGTGCAGCAAACTCACTCCAGAAGTTCAGTGAGGATCTTTGAATGATCCAATGTTGTCCTAAATGACTGATGATGATAAATAGAATGTACCTGTGTGTAATCAAGTCTCCGTATAAATGCACCTGCTCTTTGATAGTCTCAGGGTTCTGTTTAAAGCGCAGAGAGAACCATGAAGACAAAGGAACACACCAGGCAGGTCCGAGATACTGTTGTGGAGAAGTTTAAAGCCGGATTTGGATACAAAAAGATTTCCCAAGATTTAAACATCTCAAGGAGCACTGTGCAAACAGTTATATTGAAATGGAAGGAGTATCAGACCACTGCAAATCTACCAAGACCCGGCCGTCCCTCCAAACTTTCATCTCAAACAAGGAGAAGACTGATCAGAGATGCAGCCAAGAGGCCCATGATCGCTCTGGATGAACTGCAGATAACTACAGCTGAGGTGGGAGAGTCTGTCCATAGGACAACAATCAGTCGTGCACTGCACAAATCTGGCCTTTATGGAAGAGTGGCCATTTCTCAAAGATATCCAATAAAAGTCTCTTAAAGTTTGCCACAAGCCACCTGGGAGACACACCAAACATGTGGAAGAAGGTGCTCTGGTCAGATGAAACCAAAATCAAACTTTTTGGCCACAATGCAAAACGATATGTTTGGCGTAAAAGCAACACAGCTCATCACCCTGAACACACCATCCCCACCTCAGCTGTAGTTATCTGCAGTTCATCCAGAGTGATCATGGGCCTCTTGGCTGCATCTCTGATCAGTCTTCTCCTTGTTTGAGATGAAAGTTTGGAGGGACGGCCGGGTCTTGGTGGATTTGCAGTGGTCTGATACTCCTTCCATTTCAATATAACTGCTTGCACAGTGCTCCTTGAGATGTTTAAAGCTTGGGAAATCTTTTTGTATCCAAATCCGGCTTTAAACTTCTCCACAACAGTATCTCGGACCTGCCTGGTGTGTTCCTTTGTCTTCATGGTTCTCTCTGCGCTTTAAACAGAACCCTGAGACTATCAAAGAGCAGGTGCATTTATACGGAGACTTGATTACACACAGGTGCATTCTATTTATCATCATCAGTCATTTAGGACAACATTGGATCATTCAAAGATCCTCACTGAACTTCTGGAGTGAGTTTGCTGCACTGAAAGTAAAGGGGCCGAATAATATTGCACGCCCCACTTTTCAGTTTTTTATTTGTTAAAAAAGTTTAAATTATCCAACAAATTTCATTCCACTTCACGATTGTGTCCCACTTGTTGTTGATTCATGACAAAAAATTAAAATTTTATATCTTTATGTTTGAAGCCTGAAATGTGGCAAAATGTTGAAAGGTTCAAGGGGGCCGAATACTTTCGCAAGGCACTGTACATGTGGCTCTATAGTCAGTCGGTTGTGTTTACATCTAAAACCACAAGAAAAAAATGCATTGCTTTTTTGTTAAATGAAAAAATCTTTACCTAACCTTCGGAATGTCTGAAATTGGTGAATTTTTAAACTATTAAAACTATGGGCTGGAAACAAGAGAGAAAGTTCACGTTCACAACATGTGATCCAATATGGCAGCGTGATTTGATGCCCACCTTTTTGAGAAAACTACCCACAATGCCGTGCGGTCGAGCCGGAAGCTCGGAACTCTTAATGCATGTATAGTTTTATACAAAGGTCTCCATTGTTTCCTTTGTGGAAAGTTTGTTTAAAGCTCACCTTTCGTATTTGTGGTCATTACCCCACCAACATGAGGTTATTGTAATTGTTTCCATGTATCTCTGTCTGTGGTAAGGATTGTGCAAAAACTATTGTCAGGCTTGAGTTGAATTTGTTGTGTAAATGAGATGTTTAGATGATCCAAGAGCATATACTTATATATATATAGGTATTTTGACCAAATTGTTACACGAGATTGGAGGATCGGTTTTGCTGAACAAAAGTAGTTTAGTTATTGTAGACTGAAAGCCTGAATAGTTATATTTTTATTCAAATATTAATACTCTTAATAATTGTGCTTCGGGTTGCTGTAGCATATACCATCAATGTTATTGAGAATAACTGAACATTATTTCAGGGGCCATAAAAATGATCTTATTGGCCGCATGTTTGACACCCCTGGTCTTTGCAAACTACGATACCCACTTAACGTTTGACACAGTAGCCCCATTATGCATTTGTGGATGTGTCATTGTCACTTTCATTCATGGACAAATCCTAGAGATACTTAAAGCCGACTAACTATGATCTGAACAGCCTTTGTTCCTGACCGTAGCATGCTGAGAAGCTCCTCTCGTGCAGTGTGAGTTTTCACTGATGCCACAAGCTGCTGTAGTTCCAGTGTTCGAGTCTCATGTACTTCAGCTGCTTCCTGAGGCTGGCATGGAGGCTGGACTCCAGAGCTCTGGGTCTGATCGAACTCCCCAACAGCAGCTTTGTATGAGCTTTTAGAGTCCGAGAAGGACTCGTGGGGCTGCAAGACTGAGGCGGGCAGCTCTAAAACCTGCACAAAACCAAGTAACAATTTATTTCAAGGTATGTATCTAAAAGTGTTAAGCTGGCTTCCAATACCTTATTAATGACTGTGAATGTGCAAAGTCTCTCTAATACTATCTAACTGGTCTTCATAGTTCATCCACAAAAAAGGTAACTTATAAGAGACACAACGGCCTTACCCGCTCCAATGGAACAACGTGAAAAGGAAAACCAGTGGATTCAAACAGAGCTTGTATCTCAGTGTTTGTCTTGAGTCGATCCTCCAGACAACACCCCGTCAGAGCACCCTCTGCACATATAAGCTTTAATTATCACACATTTATGTAACATGTAAAACACAAAAGTATAATCTGATTTTTTACCATCTATAAAAACAATCCCCGGAGTGAACCTGAGCTTTTTATGAGCATCGACACTTAAGCCCTGAAACAGAAAAACATAACATGATTAGCCTTTAAATTGGATCAAGATATGTGATCTTTCTAAGTACTACCTGTTGAACCTGATGAAGCATTGAGCATGAAGATGGGCCTCCTGACACAGCCAACAAGACCTGGCAATATTTTGAAAATTATTCTTATTATGTAAAAGCTAGAGATTTTATACTTATATATTTTTATTTTATTTTAGCATAGAGTTATAGTTCATCCATCTTGTGTTCTGTAACTAGTGATGCAACACTGAAATTTCCCCATTAACAAACCTTTTCTCCCGGAAAAATGATTCTATTTTTGCCCAACATGGCTCTGAATTTGTGGATAAAATACTCGTGGAAACATTCCCTGGAGAGAAGAAATATGTCAGTACCATTTCAACCCCAAACAGATGAGGGCTTCAGTGTTTTAGGGTCTCACCTGCAGTAAGGATCCCCAACCCTGAGGAGAACAGCAGGAGGCTGAACTTTGCATTTTACACACACCTTTGTAATACTACAGGGTAAACACACACACACACACGGGGAAATAAACATAAACATTACAATCTTATAATGTTGTAAGGGCACGCATAATCATTACTACTGCATTCAAACTAAAACCGTATACAAGTAAGTAATGTTAGACAAAAACAAAGTTGAGGCACTGCTGTTGTGAGCTGTTACCTGGGGGGGTCTGCGGACGGCATGTGGCCCCCGTAATCCTGATCCACTTGACACATAACTAACAGATAAAGCGACGAAAACAAACGCAAAAAAATTATGTGGATACTGGATCTGTTGATAATCAGGATCCTGCCCTCAGCCCACACTGTAAATATTGCCCATACACGCTGCTGAGTGACGTGCTGTAGCGCCCCCCTTGGATCCGGAGGGCACTCACGTCAACATCTGTCACAATGATCACATCACACGTAATGAAATACATGTTTATGTTTGTTGTACGTTTCTCATTAAGTAATAAATCATCCCTATTGTTCATTCTCTCTTCCTCAATAGTGCTCAGCAGGTGGACTACAGTGACCAAAATGCAACGCGCGCATGTGTTTCTTCCTGAGCCCGCTGCTTGACATAATAACATTCATCTGGATGTAGCTCAGCCCTGAGTGCGTGAGTGCGGCGTGCATCCACATGATCTATACCAGGCACGTTCATTCCGCTCGGCTTCATGTTTACTTCTCTGGAGCGTCTTTGTTCTAGTGCAGTGATGCTGGGCTTTTTGGATAATAGCTTTCACATCCTCTGTCATCCCAAGCTTTAGCCATTCAGCTGACAAAAGGAGAGGTAAACATCACATTGGTGTTTTGGGTCACTGTGCACTGGCTGCTTCGTGATGGCGATGTTTCGGAGCTTTGTTACTGCCAGCAGCCAGCTCCGTCGCCCGCAACAGCCAGGACCAGGACCTGGACCTGGGCTCGGGCCGCTAAGCTCTAGCTCAGTTGTTCCAGGCGACAACATTGAGAGCCAGTTCTCCTGTCCGATCTGCCTGGAGGTCTACCACAAACCTGTCAGCATCTCCAGCTGTGCCCACACGTACGTAGAAGTGCGTCTTTGTTATGTGTGAATAATCTAGGTCTATGGCGTGTTGACATCAATGATCCTCTCTCCTGCACTGTCGCATGCACGTGGTCTCATCTCAAACCATGTTACACAGATGGACAACAAAACAACACAGAGCACTTTGCTCAGACCTGTACAGGCTACACTCTCTTGTCAAGATGTAATGCTGAATAAAAATGTGCTATTCCAATTCCAGTTCTAATTACAACTGTGAACATTATATGCTCAGTTTGCTAAATTATTGCTTATTTAACTAATTAGATGTCAGTTCAAAATGGGATATTAAATTGTATTTTGCCTGCATTCCCATTTCAATTATGACCCCAATATCCCTTGTCAATATGCTATGTCATGTAAAATTGAAGAAAATGACTTCAATAAACTTCCATAGCACACACTGTCTAGTAATACATTTATAATTACTTAGGACCATTGCCTGAACTATTTACATATCATAATGTATGAATGTGAAAATGCATAGACAATTAGACACCCATCAAATTCTAATTGTTTGAGGGTAAAGTCTTTTGAATGCAAGAAAGTGAAACCCATGGATTGTGTAACAAAAGGTCTTGCTCTTTTTATCTCAAATGTGTCACCTTCTCGACCCTGACCAGAATTTTTATTTATCTGCCCATGTTCTTTGTGTGTCTTCCTGAAAACGTTTTTGAAGACTGGTTTTGTTCTTGTGCAGTTTCTGCGGTGAATGCCTTCAGCCCTGCCTCCAGGTCACCTCTCCCCTCTGCCCTCTCTGTCGCGCCCCCTTTGATCCTAAGAAAGTGGAACGTTCTTCTGTTGTGGACAAACAGCTGTCCTCCTTCAAAGCTCCATGTCGTGGTTGTCGTAAGAAGGTACTGATCCAGTCAATTCAGTCTTTATAATCTAAAATTCGAGTTCTACAAACAGTGAAAAAAAAGGTAATGTAAGGAGTAGTCTGACAAGCATTCATTTATAACACATTCATAGCACATTCAATTCAATTAATTTTATTGTTGTACAGCCCTAAATCACAACAGTAGTTGTCTTGGAGGACTTTACAAAACCATTGAATTCACTGGTCATTCATTGGTCCATAAAGAGCAGATGACCAATGTCCATAAATGTTGTTGAAAGTTGAGTTGAGTGTCCTGGATCATCACATGCATTGAACTTAGCATGTCCTGACTTTACGGAATGTGTTTGTTCCCAGGTGTCTCTGGTCAAGATGAAGTCCCATATCACATCATGTTCAAAAGTTCAAGAACAGATTGCCAACTGCCCCAAATTTGTTCCCGTTCTTCCCACTTCACAACCCATACCAAGGTGAGTATTTATTTACAACTAATCTCTATGGATATCCATTTGTTATAATTAGATATTAATCCAGTCTTCCTGTTAACCTCTGCTCCTCTTTCAGCAATATTCCAAACCGCTCTACATTTGTGTGCCCATTCTGTGGAACCAGGAACATGGACCAGCAAGAATTGGTCAAGCATTGCATGGAGAACCATAGAAATGACCCTAATAAAGTGGTATGAGCTTTACTAGCCTTCTGATGTCTTTCACATCTTATACTCAAACCATTCTTAATTGTTTCCTTACATTTAGTGAGAGTATAATTCAAAATAATGGTCACTGATTTATGGCCCATTCCAACTTGGCTCTACTGGTAAATGCTTTAACTATTGTGTGATCATATCTTTCTCAATATTAATATTATTAATAATAATGAGATTATTATTACAGAATGATAGTTATGACACAACATTTTTTGGGCCTGTATCCATTTGCATAGATTAAATAAATATATACTGTTAAAATTTTGGGACAAAGATTCTGAACATTTCAGGTCAATTTAGATGAGTTATAGTGAAACACCATGTGTGCAGGTGTGTCCTGTTTGTTCAGCAATGCCATGGGGAGATCCTACTTACAAAAGCTCCAACTTTCTTCAGCATCTACTTCACAGACACAAGTTCTCCTACGACACGTTTGTTGTAAGTACTGTGCTACCGTGTTGTGCTGTTCGTAACAACCAAGATACAATTGTGTTTGTAACTTTGTGCAGGACTACAGCATCGATGAAGAGTCGGCTCTGCAGGCAGCTTTGACCTTGTCCCTGGCTGAAAACTGATATTGTCTCTTCATAAGTCCTTCATAAAGCTGAGCTGCTACTTGTGTGACAGATTTGGAGGACGTTTTTCAAATTTGTATCAAGTTAGGCCTGGGTCACGCCCTGGAGTGGTTCTCTTCTAGTTTGTGACTCGCACTGAGAAGACCACATGTCCACGCTGTAATTAAGGAAGAGGGCTGCGGACACAAGGATCTGGAAGCACCGTGTACCTCCGCTGGCGGCACCACACTGCACACTTACTTTCAATTGTCCGGAAAGACACTGCACTGCTCTCATACTGCATTTAGTGTGAGCCCGAGGTCAGACAACACTCACCAAACGGCCTCTTCACTGCTCGAACTGTGGTCATGACGTCTCTCACCGCATGCGAAATGACAGAAGGACATCCAGCCGTCTGACAAATCAAAGCAGATGTCTATAGGTTTCTGATTATGTGAATATGCAACTAAAACTACGGTATAAAAAAGTGATTTCTTTGGCAATACAAGCTACACTAAAGAGTAGCATGTCAGTAGTCATCGTTGTTTCTGAGACAATTCATTAATTCTCTGTCCTTGCGCACACGTGAAGCAGGAGTTGACCTTACCACAGTCATTATCACTGAATGCAAATAATCTCCATGTCAGACAAAGTGAACGCAATAACACACATTGCCGGGTCACTCCACTTAACCCTGTTTTTATCCTTGTTAATATTTGCACTTTTTATATTAGACTGACATCATTGTGACTAATGTTGAGAGCTGGAAGTGAAAGTCCTCCACCTATTCTTGTCTCTATTTCCTTAAACTAATATTTTTATGATAGTTTCGTTAAAATGGGTACAAGATATCTATTTTTCGAAAAATGGTTACTTTTCCACACCACTGGAGGTGATGAATACTCCAGCAGGAACAGTCTGAGGACATGGTGTTCTCTGTAGATACTTTCTTGTCACATTGTTGAGCAGACAGCACAGGTAGGAATTGTGTTTTTTGAGTTCATTGGTAAATTGTACATTATTATGCTATTTTGTTTTCTTGGTTTGTTACTTGGTGTTATTTATATGGAATGCATGTGTCACTACTGTTTGATCTGCAACTAGAAGAGGCTCCGTAATGCCTGTTCGAGGTCATGGAAAAGTGCACAATTTAGGTTTTCTGGTGGAGGATCCTTAGTGTTTAAGATCCAGGCATCAGCAGAATATAACGTGTTGAACCCTCCCACTAAAATGTATAAAGGGCACTTTTGATAATAATGTTTTGAACAACCTTCTTTCAGGTTTTACCTTGTGGAAGGTCTTGTGTTGTGACTTTACATTAGAAAGCAAGTACATCTATTGTTATTGTTTTTGGATTCAGATATGTTCATTTATACATTCATAGTTAATAACTGCCTCATAAAACAATCTAATAATTTCTGTAGTAGCTGCTCCAGATAATTCATAAAATATCTGATCTCTTTCAACCTTTTATAAACTGGAAGTGCATGTTTTAACAACATGTAGTGGTGGCTACGACAGAGTTGATTTAGTCCGTTGTATTAAAACTGTAGCACAAACATTTATGTTATTCTGTTTAATAATGTAAACATACTAAACTTATGAACCAAAACAATGTTTTTGTCACTTTTTCTGTTTCATTGCAATTTTCAACAACAACTGTAATGACAATGTTTAAGTGTTAAGTGTATTACAGGATTTTTGCTCCTCAGAGTCCCAGCAGGAGGCCAGACCCTGTGCTCCTCAGAGTCCCAGCAGGAGGCCAGACCCTGTGCTCCTCAGAGTCCCAGCAGGAGGCCAGACCCTGTGCTCCCCAGAGTCCCAGCAGGAGGCCAGACCCTGTGCTAGTCAGTGTTGGAGTTGGTTCATATAGCAATAACATGTCTTGGATGTAAGTTGGTGTGAGGCCATGGAGAGGCCGATATTATTATAGATCCATGGGAGAGACTTACACACAATGATGAGCAGAGCAGCTTTAAAGTCTGTTCTCTGAGCCGCAGGAAGCCAGTGCAGAGACCTGAGAACTGGAAGTAGAATTATAATTATAAAAAACATGGCCAAACTGGGGTAACATTAGAAAAACCTTTGGTAAAATCTTAAATATGACTTTCTTGACTGTGTTTTGTGAAAAATAAAGTAAAGTTAAAAAAAAACAGCATACAACATCCTTCAGTTGTATGCTGTCTTTCTTATCTTTATTTTTAATATATTGTGATTATTTATCCCTTGTGTATGAATTGTGCTATACAAATATATTTGCCTTGCCATGATTTTGAGGGCCATATCCCTCCAGCTCTGAAGGGGCGCTGAAGTGGATAATCGCAAATGCGGAATGAGTAGAAATATGAGCCTCAGATTTTCAACATCGGTGGAACGAGGACAATATTAGACACATTTTTGAACAGTTTCTTTAAGACAGACAAGTGACAATAGTGAGACGTGCCTTGGTTTCTATCGAGAGAGCAGCGACGACGTGAGTAGAGCGCGTTGGTCTGGTCCACACAGACTGGCCTCATGCTGCAGCTCTGCTCATGTCAATCACAGCCTTCACAGAAAGACACACTTCTGCATGATCTGAAGCTTTCATTGATACTTTGATGTTTTAATATTATATCTATGTTCATTTGGAAAACCAATTATACGTATATATTTTGCATGCAAACAGTAAATTGGAAATAAATTAAATAATACATTTATTAAAGTAAGATTCTATTACAATTTTGCAGTTTTCCTGTTGTTGATTCCTGTTTCAACACAACAAATAATAATAATAATAATAATGCAAACTACTACTGTAGCCACAGCTGCCCTAGAGCATACTGACAGAGAATGTATTTACCACTAACTTATTACACTTACATGTATTCTCACGTATATTTTTTCCAAGAGGACCGCACCCTCCTGCCCACCGACTCTGTGATGACGCCACCTCTTACTTTTTGTATTTCTTCATTTTGTAGAATTTAACAATGAGCACATCCTGGAGTGACCGTCTGCAGGACTACGCTGACCTCCCTGCGAACATGGATGGAGTGGCTCTGAAGAAGTACACGCGGGAGACCCATCATAGGTCTGTCAAGGCACATTCAACTCTTTCTTCTCCCAAATTGTTTGCCTAGCCAACATTTTTTTGAACATAATGGTATCCAAATTGCTAAATAGATTCCTCAGTTTCCTTTTGTGAGGTGGTCTCCCTGCATCCACATATTCCTGCCATAAATATGACATACAATAGTGGGAATGTTGGAATGGACTGTAAGGGCTGTAGTGACAATGATTATATTTTGTGATGTAGTAAATGCAGTGGTTTAGCAACATAAAGTCATGCTGCTGCAGAGGAAGTGTGATAAAAAAAGAGGAAGCCATGTTTCAGCAGCAACAGCTCTGTTTTATAGAGCTGCTCAACTTTTGGAAAATATCTTATTGAATTCTTTCTATCAGGCATTGGTACGACTATTGTATTTGTCTTTTAACATTATTGGATTGTGTTTAAAGTGCATTTGTGACGGATAAAATGTAAAGTGATATTATACAATACCATGCATTTCAAAGCATATCTAAAGTGATGATTGAACAATATAGTGTGCAAAATTTTACTATTTTCTCGTTTGGTTCAAGGGAATTGGCATTAAAGGTAAAGTTAGTGTCTTTTTCAGGTTCTAATAGTACGTGTGTCACTACTGTGTCACTACTGTGTCAGTACTGGACGAGTGGACACTACTTTATCGGCTACCAGGAATTTAGACACTAAAAAGTTATTAAAAAGTTATATTTATATATACTTTTTTTTACAATTGACTTAATTGCAGCCTTTGCAATGTGATTCAGTTGTGACTGATCTTGCAGCCCTTATATTGTAAAATGTGTTTAAAATACAATATAGACATCTCTACAAAGATGTTGCTCGCTACAGGTTTCCAGATAAACCCAATTCCTTAAGCATCTTGTAGTAAGAAGCTGTGTGTTGTGTGTTAAAAAGCTTTCCCCGGGAAGTGGCTCATCCAGCCATGAGGTATGTGTCTTTGTCGTCATGTATCTGTTTGTGAAAGACTTCACTTCCATGGAACCCATGCAGATTCTTCTCTGATCTCCACAAAAACATACAAAACATGTGTTTGTCTCATCCCCAAATCTGGCGTGGATGGAAGAGGGGTTTAATATGACGTTTTAATGATAATGATGTTGTTTGTTTATAGAGTGTTCGTAAACAGAAGCTTGGCGATGGAAAAGATCAAATGCTTTGGGTTTGACATGGACTATACTCTTGCAGGTGAGATCATTTATGAATATTATTCAGAACAAAAAGTATTCTTCCGCTGTTGATCCATACATCAAACACTTATAATAATAATAATGCCTCAGTTTTATATCACTAATGTGGTTTTAAGATGTTTTTGGACACTCAAAAGATGCTCCACATGTGTCATTATTCATTCACTCCATACACAGTGGTGATAAACTACTATTGTTGCCACAGCTGCCCTGGGGCACACTGACAGAAGCGAGGCAACTAGTATGTGCCATCGGCCCCTCCGACCACCACCAACCATTCACACACACACCAGACTCATTCCAGGCAATGGGGGTGAAGTGTCTTGCCCAAGGACACAATGATAGTTTGGCACTTTACAGCCGCAGCCGCCCCACTGTGGCACCTGGTGTTCCCAGAGGTCTCCCATCACAGTGCTAACCAGGCCCTGCCCTGCACATTTTCAGAGGTCTATCGGGATCTGGCTTTTGCATGCAGATCCCTTCACTTGTCTCGAAGGTTGTGTCAAAAATGTAAAGATCTCGGTTATCATTATTCTATAGAACAAATCCTTTTGATGGTTGATAATAATAGTACTTTATAGTTTATGTCATCAGCTTGTTTCACAGTGACAGTGATTTACTCTTAGTGTCTTTTCTATGTATTTGTTCTTACTATTACTAGTGTTTTGATAATGCTGTGGGTCATATTGTATTCTAGTGTGGTTCTAAGCTGCAAATAAACTGAATCTGAATCTGGATGTGTATTATAAGTGAGAGACTCCAATCATGGTAAAAAAAAAGAGCTCTTTTTGTTATTTCTGCAAATCTCACTGTTTTGGTGGAAGAACTGAGCATGTGTCTTCATCATAGACTGAAAATTAACGGACGTAGTCACACCTATCTCCGCCGTTCTAACTAATGGGCAAAAAATAATGCTCTACTGGAGCTATCCAAAATGGCCGCGAGTGGTCCCGCCCACAAGAAAATTGTGAAAAAACACATCTGCGCATGCGCCAGCCGGCGAGAGCTCCATTCATTTGAACAAGAGACTTCAAAAATTCACAGCAAGTAAACTAGAGTGGTCCAAAAAAAATCACTCCCCTCAGCATTGACACACATGTGGAACGGAGCTTTGGGCCAAGAGCCAACTTTTGGACCATCCTGTAAAGACGTTTTCGAGAGGTCTACCAATGCTATGTGTTAGCATTGGCTAATTCTTATTCCGGGTCCACCCCCATCGGCCCGTGGTGGTGCATGTGCAAGCATGTCAGCGCACGTCATTTTGGCCACTTTTGAGCCGGGACCCGCCCCCACTGGTCTTCATTCATATGGATTAATGTGTAAAGCTGACATTGTAAATCTTCTATACAAGCTTGTAAGTATAAAAATGTGTGAGGGTGTATCTAATATGTCTAGTATTCTGATCACTTGCTCACATCCCAAGACAACCAAAAGATTGTACTTTTTTTGATGACTTTACACATTAATCCATGTAAGTTTACACTGAAGGATCATACTTTTTCACTATTCTGAGATTCATGTATTCATAATAGTTTGTTCCTGCCGGTGCTGTAGGACATATCAAGCCCTACTAGTCCACATCAGTCCAACAATAATGAGGTTGTTCATGTGTGCATCGTGTTGTGTGTACTTCAGTATACAAGTCCCCTGAGTACGAGTCACTGGGGTTTGACTTGACGGTGGAGCGCCTTGTGTCCATTGGATATCCGCAAGAATTACTCAACTTCGTGTATGACCCCGCCTTTCCCACCAGGTGAGGATGTGCTGTGAGTGAAACTTTACAAACACACTCTTTATTTTTCAACCTAAATTCTTTGCGTGACAGAGGATTGGTTTTCGACACCTACTATGGGAACCTGCTGAAAGTGGACGGTTACGGCAACATCCTGGTCTGTGTGCATGGCTTCAACTTCATAAAGGGGTACTTTTTACACTTTTTACTTTGAAATGGCTGAAAATCTGGCCATCGGGACAACAGTTGAGGTTTGTAATGTGTTAAATTGGTGATAGGTGGTCATTAAGCGAAGTCAGAGATTTTAAAATGTACTTGGTGCTTCTTCATTATGGTAAAGTTGAAGATTGTATACTTGCTTCCTTATTATGCTGCAGCTTGAGATTTTATTTTATTTTAGTATAGAGTTTTTGTTCATTTATACTGTTCTGTAACGGCTGACTGTGAGACGAATGAAGGATCTCTTCATCTTAATAATTATCATATTTAGGCATTAAATATAAAATGTTGTTCTTTGCAGACCAGACATCAGAGAGATGTATCCGAACAAGTTCATACAGCGTGGAGACACCGACCGCTTCTACATCCTCAACACACTGTTCAACCTCCCTGGTATAATAAATCACGTTTTATATTTTTATATATATATTTATATTTAGTTCCAACTTTTACAGTGCAATCATCACTTATTTAATTTCTTCCCCATGTTTTTTTCCCCACAGAGACCTACCTCTTTGCCTGTTTGGTCGACTTCTTTAGCAACTGCTCCAGATATTCCAGGTTTTACACATTTGCACTTAACCTTTGATTTCACAAGTAAAGTGGAACCAGCCTGAAATACTCATTATTAATTCTAATCTCAGAAACTAAAGTTGCATTCACGTATTTTCCATCTCTGAAGTTGTTATTTCAGCCTGGGTAAAACAAAGGACATTGTTTGTATAATAACATCAATTCTTTTATGATGTAATATATATAAAATATTAGGTGTCAGTGACTCACTGTAAATAGAATACATTTTGAGTAGTGTACACAAACCGCACCAGCTACACTTGAAGAGAAAGTACAATTTGTCGACGTATAAGCCACAGGTTTTCATAATGTAACACTAAAGCGATAGATAAAAGTTTTCACACAACATGATGTGATGATGAGGTGTTTTAACTTTGGTAAATCCAGTCTATTTTGACAGTAACATTCAAACTAAAATGTTAAATAATATAAAGAGCCCATAAACTGCCCAAATCACAAAAACAAAAACAAGTCCTGTGTATATCCCCTACACCTCCTCGTCTCTGGTCAACATAAAAATGCTATGAAAGGCTAATGCTAACTGGTAGCAAGTTTACATTATGTTGCTATGGTTACTAGCGCTTGCTCTTCTCCATTTCAATAGTTAAAGATAGTTTCATAAAAATAACATAGAAATAAACTACATAAAGAAACAGAAGAAGTAAAAAAGTTATGAAGATCAAAAATGTACGTGGGTGAGGGTTAGTAATTACACTTCCAAAACTAAAAGCGGTAAAATAGACTGCTCTGGGAGTTCTTGTGTTAAAAAAAATCTTGAATCTTTACAACTGTAACCTTTTGTTCTAGTTGTGAAACTGGCTTCAAAGATGGAGACCTTTTCATGTCATTCAAGAGCATGTTCCAGGACGTGCGAGACGCTGTGGACTGGGTGCATTTCAAGGTAAAGTTTGTCCTTTTCCAGATCTTCCGCGTCTCTGCTTTTGTTACATCTATATCTTGTTTTATCACAGGGTTCGTTAAAAGAGAAGACTGTTGAAAACCTGGAGAAGTATGTTGTAAAAGATGTAAGTTATGACAGACGGAAATTATAGCCACACACAAAAATTAACCCAAAAAATATTCTTGGTAAACAAAAATACTTATAAGATATTTGACACATTGTTACTAGGGCATAATTATATTTAACGTATGCTTTTACGCCACAAGCCGAAGCTGCCTCTGCTCCTGAGTCGCATGAACGAAGTTTCAAAGGTTTTCCTGGCCACTAACAGCGATTACAAATATACACAGGTGGGTGTCATCTTCACTACAGGTACTTTTTAGAAATGCTACTGTTTTTGGAGAAATCTAATCGTATTTTCTTTCCTTTTTTAACAGAAAATTATGACGTACCTTTTTGACTTTCCTCACGGACCAAAGGTAAACCCAGCTGCTCATACAATCAGCACAGTTTAGAATAACAAATCCTCTCTCTCATTCTCATGTGTGATATCTACTACTAAATGTATTAAAGCTGAGGTACCTAACTTTCAAACAACATAAGAGTGGAACTATTTAATCAAATCCATCTAGTTTCAGTGTGGTTCTAGTTTTCATATAAATGTATTTTTGGCCAAAAGAGAGAACCACCCTCACAGCCAATCAGCTCTCTGCCAAAATGATGCAAAAGATAACATGGCAGGAGCTCTGGTGTGTCCTATCCTGTTGCACACTGAACTAGTCTTGCACGGTTTTTCCAATGTGGTTTTACTGCAAATGGCAATGAAATTCTTGAATCTTGAATCTTGGGACGTACAACAGAACCAACACAAATGCACTTTCCCTGCTGCAGCCAGGGACCCCCCACAGGCATTGGCAGTCGTACTTTGATCTGATCTTGGTGGACGCTCGCAAGCCTCTGTTCTTTGCAGAGGGGACCGTTTTGCGCCAAGTGGACACAGTGAGTTGTGCAATAAAACAACCACTTAATCTCCCTCAATGTTAAACGACTTTTACATGCGTTTCATGTGGCGAATAGGTTACAGGTCGTCTAAAGATCGGAACATACACTGGACCGCTCCAGCACGGCATTGTGTACTCCGGAGGTAGATATGTTTATTTATCATTTATTTATTTATTTATGATGCTAAAGCTAGAGATTGTATACTTGCTTCTTTATTATGCTAATGCTCGAGATTTTATTTTTTTGTGTGCTTCTCTTTCCTACTGTTCTGTAACTAGTAATGCAACACTGAAATTTCCCCATTATGGAACGAATAAAGGATCTGTTCATCTTAATTAGCAATAGGTGAAAAATGCTTCATGATGAGTGTTTTACTTGTATGTTTTTTGTTTTTTTTATCACCCAGGCTCCTCTGACATTGCGTGTGACCTTCTTGGAGCCAAAGGAAAGGACATAATTTATATTGGAGATCATATTTTTGGAGATATTCTCAAATCTAAGAAGCGTCAGGGCTGGAGGACGTTCTTGGTGATCCCAGAGCTGGCCCAGGAGCTTCATGTGTGGACAGACAAAAGCGGTGAGTCAAGCACTTTGCTCTGTCAGTACCGTTTCTTGGAGCATGAAATGATTTTGACTTCTTTCCAACAGCTATATTTGAAGAGCTTCAGTTTCTGGATTGCTTTCTTGCGGATCTTTACAAGTGAGTTTGTGAACGCAGTCATGGCACACTTGTTTTCTGAGACATTGTATTCACACTCCTTCACTTTGTCTGTGGTCAGAGATTTGGACAGCAGCAGTAATGAACGTCCAGACATCAGTTCACTTCAGAGACGGATCAAGGTGTGAACACTACAAAAAGTGATGAAAAATAAGACACAAATTTCTCAAATTTGGCAAAATGTATCTTAATTTGTGCATATTTTGACCACAAGATTTGCCAATGGGACACGCAAAAGTATCTTGTTTTAAAAATATACAAGAAATGAGAAAATAGAGCAACAGTTCTTGAAATAAGACTAAATGGCTGTGTCCCTTTGGAAAATGTATTACCTCATACAATCTTTCACTCCCTGATGTAGATAAGTCATGTTGTGTCTGTCTTAACCAGAAAGTGACCCACGACATGGACATGTGTTACGGGATGATGGGCAGTCTGTTTCGCAGCGGATCCAGACAGACCCTGTTTGCATCTCAAGTCATGCGTTACGCCGACCTATATGCGGCCTCCTTCATTAACCTGCTGTACTACCCCTTCAGCTACATGTTCAGAGCAGCACATGTACTGGTGAGCCAACCTCAGTCACTTATCAGTCACTGTTCAACATGTTTTTTTAAATGGTCCTCATGAAGAAATGTGAATATTGTTCAAAAGTCCACTTTCAGAATTCAACTTCTAATGTGAAACTAATATATCACAGACCAATTACACACAAAGGCTCAGTTGGTAGAGCCAGTGTTGGGCACGTTACTTTGAAAAAGTAATTAGTTATAGTTACTAGTTACTTCTCCCAAAAAGTAACTGAGTTACTAACGGAGTTACTCCACTATAAAAGTAACTAGTTACCAGTAAAAGTAACTATTGCGTTACTTTTTCGTTTTGTTCTGGAACATAATGTGCACCCGACGTGCGCATTTTTACCTTTAACCTCAGTGAGTCTGAAATATTGCCAATATTTCCATCTAGAAAAGGCTGTTTTGCTGCTGAAGTCCTGTTCACTCTTCATCTCTCACTGTGCACTAAGCACTGAACACAAACACCCGCCACTGTGAATGTGGAAACACCGCTGTAGCCAAACACAATTTGTTTGGCTACAGCAAAATATGTTTTATGCCCGCATTGTTTGTTCATACAAAACGCAAAACTATGAGTTATGGGTCTCACCTTATAAATGACCTGCACAGTCCACTTCGGTTCAGACCAGTTCCTTGTTTAAATCCAGTTAATGGTTTGAGCGTAGATATGTAATCCTCCATTTGGAAATGAGTCCAATGAGTTTTAAAAAGTAAAACAAAACGCGTGTGTCCTCCGTAAACTCCTCTGTTTTGCTAGCTGCAGCCAGGTGCATCCAATTTCTAAAATCAACCGTCTTACACTTCACCTCTCTTTCTTATCATTCCTATAGTCATTGAAAAATTATCCTATAGTAATTGAAAAATTACACTAAGTGCATTTTAGATTATGTAAAAATGTGTTATATGTATGTTAGCCAAACCTGTTGCTGTCCTTAGCAGATAAACCAGGAAGAGAAAGGAGCTTATCGATGGAATTGTATGAAGCCGACTTCTGCGCTCACATGCGCTCCTCTGAGGCTGGCCTCACGGTGATACAAGCCGTGGTTGAGCGCGATTAAGACCCATATTTGTTTCAAAAACACAATTTATGAGCCATCCTCTCAACTGTAGACATGTGGATTGTAAAGGAAATATGTTTTACATCAGCCAATAATTGCTGAGAGGTTTTCTCATCCTCCCTTCTCTCATGACAACACGTTCATTGTGCGTCTTGAGTAACGCGCAGTAAAGGGATGTCGGAAATGATAACGGCGTTATAGTTACTGTCAAAGTAATTAGTTAGATTACTCGTTACTGAAAAAAGTAACGGCGTTAGTAACGCCGTTATTCCCATCACTGGGTAGAGCATTGCCCTTTGAGCCTGAAGTCGTTGTGTCCTTGGGAAAGACACTGTGAATAACTAGTCACATTTCAACAACATAATCTCTTTAATACATGTCAGCCGCTGGTTCAAAACTACAGGTTATCTGGACATCAGCACACACAGACAAGTTTTACAGACTACAGTCTAGTCTGGGTCTCTGCTGGATGGAAAGCAGCAGAGTGACAAAGAATGGACCAAACAGCTCTCGTCTTATACCATGATAATTTGAAACACATGCAACAATATGTCCCACCTTCCTTAGGTGAAGACAATACCTCCTATGTTCAGGACAAACAGTAGCCCCTGTGTAAGTAAGCCTGAGGCTACTCTAAACAGATGTTCTCTTCGTTCTTGCCTTAATTTAACTTCCTGTGTTTCATGGCTGGGGGATGGGAGAATGCTGCTGATGCGTCCATCACATCCCATCACACACGTAGGTTAACCCAAAGCTGTCTAAACTTTGAATATATTCTAATTCACTTTAATGAAAATCCAACAACTCTACTAACATTTCCCTCCTGTTTTTCATTAAAAGAATTAATCACATTCAATGTTTAGTAAACCAACTTAAAGATGGAACACAATGAAATTAATACAAACACAGTATTACATTTGAATCCAAGTTGCGTCGACTCAACTTAGAGACCCCTCTTCACATGTGTCTTATAAAAATCACATCGGTTACAGAAACACACACAGAAAAGAACTCAAAAAAATTTTTTAGAGATCATTTCATATGTATAGAATTACTCCCCTATAAACCATATCTCCCCCCTGTTTGAGACATTAAAAATGGCTCAATAACTAAACATAATTCCTAATTATTCATGTGCATGAAATGAAAAAGACACAAATACCCAATTTACTCATGTAAATTAATGTAGCATCAAAATGTATAAACTAAACGTTCATTTGAAATGTATTAAACTGGAATGTTTTAACCTGAAATGTATTCACTTGAAATGTGTCAACTTTGGTTATCAAATTAAACACCACACCAAAAAGCCTATTGTCCAGTAACGCCTGTTACTGATGTCACCCTGATGTCTTCTGCAGCCAGCAACGTCCAGCACCATCCAGCACAGCCCCATCATGTCCAGAAGCCTCTGTCCTGTTCACACACTTCAGAACCGACAGCAAAAACTGGAAACCTCCAGTCCTCAGATCTTTGCACAAAGGTGATGTCTTCGGTCAACCCAGTCTTTCAGATTTTTTGGATATCTGCAAAATGTCCCAAAACCACACAGAGTCAAGTTGTTGATTTGAGTCTGACCTCTGGATGACCCTTTGCATCATTGCTTCTGTAGTTGCAGCATTTAGCCTTGGTTTGGCCTGCTGGTTTGGCTTGGTTTGGCTTGGTTTGGCCTGGTTTGGCCTGCTGATTTGCTGGTTGATGATTGGTGGGGGTGGGAGTGGGCGTCTCCTTCACAGGAATGAACTCTGAGCTTTTGAGCATCAAAAGTGGTGTTTTAGGTGTTTCCCTCAAACAAAACACACAAAGTACACATTTGTTAATACATTTCAGGCTTTGTTCAGTAAACCCAAAAGAAAACCTTAGCAGTTAATGAAAACTGTTGCTGAAGACAGTCCTATTACTGTATATTTTCTTGTCTCAGAAATGAAAACATCACAATTAACTATTGAAATAATGTATAACTAGTTATATTCAGAATCAAACAGATTTGCATTTCTTTGATGAAAACATTAAACATGCTACAGTAACTTCCCTTACTGTTGAATTTAAACCTTTCAAATGAAACTAAACATATTTATTATTAAAATCTGAAAAATTAAACTGCTTATTTTCAGAGTGTTTGAGTGTCCACTTATCTGATTGTTCTGAGTCAGCATCAGTCAGAGAGGACCTTCTTAGGCGTCTGATTCGTCGTTCCCAAGCACAGCACTTGAACTTGTAATTGATCTGTGAAGTTTAAAACACTCTTGTGCCCAATGGTCAAAAGAACCACAATTAAAGCAGCCTTGCTTCTTTGTGCCACTGCTTGGCTCTCTCCTCCCCATCTGGATGCACTCTGCTCCCAGACCTGTCTTCCTGGTTGGAGTGGAGTGAGGCAGTGGCTGTGAATGGAGCTGTGGCTGGGAAGGACCAGATGATCTGCCCCCAAGTGTCTCTCTTTGACTGGCTGTGATGGACTCAGAAACAGAAGAAAACATTAGTGTTGACTCACTCATGACTTCTTTGAATTCTCTCATCTTAATACATGCATCTAGAAACTTCTTTTGCTGTTTCAACATTTTTCCCTGCACATCTAAAATGTTTTTTAAATCACTCAGCTTTCCCGAACTGAGTGAAGCCATGTGTTCTTCACAAAAATCAAGTGTCAATTCTAACCTGCTGTTAACATTACAATTATCCATTGCTACTTCGTTAGTCTTTCTCCTAACATACTCAACACTTTATGTACAATCCCTCTTCCAGTGTCCACTCTTGTGACATTTTAAGCATAAATCATTGCTTCTATCTTTACTATTGAAGAAGATGACAAAGTCTGGGATCGCGTCTTAAATTCAGACAGAAGACATGTTTTATTGTCGATGGTTCCAGATATTGCTTTGAAAACAGTCTCTCCCACTTCTCCTGTTGGTTTCTTCAGGCTGCATTTGTGTCGAGCCATGAATTCTTCTGTGACGTGTCTTTCAATTCAGAAATCCAATTCAGTCCAAATTATGTCCAAATTCAGAAATCCAATTGTTCCAAATCATGTCCAAATTGTGTAATCCAATGGTTCCAAATGGTGTCCATGCAAAAGAGGACGCTGGTGTTGTCCATGTCTCAGCAGCTCACAGCCTGACTGGAATCAGGGGCTGTGCAGATTGTCCATGTGTGCTGGTCCAGATGCATGGTTTCGCTTGAGGTTTCTCAGTTTTGGCTTAAAAAAAAACCACATTTTTTGTGTAAAAAAAAAGGTCTTCTGTTCTGTAGATGTTACAGACAATGCCCGCATCCTCCACCACCTGAAGAAGATGACATATCTGGGATCGCGTCTTAAATTCAGACAGAAGACATGTTTTATTGTCGATGGTAGAGACCGCACGAACACAGATACAACAGAATGCAAGTGTATTATACAGAGCGGAGGCATGGAGACCTCCAATCAGCAGCTGCCACGGTGCCAGCAGAGATAGTCAAAACATGAAGTGGAAAAGTACAGGCTTCTGCACATTGGTAGAATGATGAGTTTAACTATAACAAAAGTTGATTAAAAGTGTTATGAAATCTCACACTATCACCCTTTCTTTTTCCTTCCTGAAACTGACTCCTCTCTCGCTCTCTCTTCCCACCTTTCCTATTCATCTTATAGTCTGTTAGTTTAGTCAGTTAAGTCCCAAACATAGAAGACAAACACTTACATGCAAAACCTGAAGTAACAAGCAAACAAATACTACTCACATAAGAGGAAATGTTAGTCTGTTAAATCTTACACATAAAGACAGTTACTCACAAAACAAACAAAAACTCCAAATCAAACCCAAAAATAAACATAAAAGTCTACTTGTGTGTACAAAATACCAGCTTTTGTGATAATAAGGAAACAAAAATAAAAAATCTGAGCAAACTTTGAGTCTTATCTATCATCAATCTAATTCAGTCTCAGCCTAATCCTTTTGAGCTTGTACCAAATGTAGTAACTTTAAAGTTGTCCAATCACAAAAATTTCACAGCTCAAGTCAATTCAAATCTATCTATGATTCTCTAATCTCATTACCAAATGTTTTCACCAGTAAAATGTTTATTTACATACTGGTTGCCTCGCTTCTGTCAGTGTGCCCCAGGGCAGCTGTGGCTACAGTAGTAGCTTATCACCACCGTGTATGGAGTGAATGAATAATGACACATGTGAAGCGTCTTTGAGTGTCCAAAAAAGCGCTATATAAAACCGATGCATTATTATTATTATTATTATTATTAACAGACACTTAACCCCACTTTGCCTGAAGCCCCCACTGGAAGATCAAGGCTCTTGTGGACCACCACAAGAGGATCAGTGAGAGGGGCTGGTGCTAAGTGCAGTGGGTGCAGCTCTGACTGCACCCCCTGACCCCCCGACCCAGAAATGGATTATGGGGAAGAAAATTGATGGATGGCTTATTTTATGGCTCACAGCTTGTAATCTTTTTGTTGCCATAATCAGTAAAACTATAACGTGCGAAGGCTTGACATCTTACTGAGTGTACAACATCTATTGGTTTCACATTTTAAGTTGAATTTCAGAAATTACTTGAACTTTTGATATATATTGTAATTTTCTGAGTTCCATCTGTGAATCTTCCTGTTAAAACACCAGATCTGGTATTTCTCAGAAATGTTTGTGGAACAAGTAAATTCTCATGATAAATTTGATGCTCAGATGCCACACGAGTCCACTGTGGACCACACCCACGTTGACATATTGGACTCTGAGTCTCCCCTCGCCACAAGAAACCGGTATGAGCTGGACCTGAGGGAGGAGTGTAAGCGGGCCCAGCTGACCCGCTCGGTCAGCGAGATCCAGCCTCCGCACTTCTTCCCAACAGCTCCACAAGAGATCACACACTGCCACGATGAGGATGATGATGATGAGGAGGAAGAAGAGTAGACCTATTTGAACTATGGCAATCATACAGTATAAGATTATTCATTGCCCTGATGTGAGGCAGCAGTGACAAGCCTTTATACTATGTTTTCTATTCATTTTACTGCTTTTCGTGTCTTAACATTTCATTGTTGAGGCAAAGGTCATTTCATTTTTAAGAAAATCTCTTGTTTTAAAATGTCCTTCATTTCACTATTTGTTTTAGTTGGATTTTCCTGTACATGTTGCTGATGCCAAATGGTGGTTGCACACAGGTTTGTGTGTGTGTGCATGTTTATTACTTGATGTTTGCTTTGACTGCTGTTTCTGAAAAATACTGAATCATTTTGACTTTCTGCACACCTTCTATTCTGTGACAGGATTACACTTGAAGAATGTAGCTAAGGGCGACCTTAGCCATCAAGCTGCTGGAGTCACTGTTAAGTGTTGAATGGTCTTACTCCTGACCGATGTGAAATATATCACCTTAAAATAAGACTTTAGTGATCGTTTGTGATTAAAAAAAATAAATAAATAAAGTCAATCTATAAAGCCATAATTCATACCAGTCGGTTTTAGGAGTCTCTCCTGTTAGTATTTATTTTTATTCAATCTGTTCAGTTATTGATGTTCAGTATCAAAGAGGAATCAAAAAACAATGTATTCTGCATGTACCAATTCAATTAAACTAATATCAAAGCTGCTGATCTATGAACAGTTTACATACAATGTTGTCGTCATCTCTTGTTCTTGCTTTTCTTCAGATGCAGTCCGACCCTGGGCTATATCCTGAGACCTTGGCTTTGTGATAAGACGCAGTGTTTTACTCATTATTTTGACTCAAGGATAAGATGACGAGAGTCTTGGGTGGAATTTCTCAAAGCATCTGCCGTGCCGCGTAAAAGCACGCGCACACGGGACCTCAGGGACACGCTGGAGGTCAGGCAGCTGCTAGGCCTTCAGGAGACAGATAACTGTTCTTCTGGTTTCATTACTTCTGTCATCAGTCCATTCTCTGATAAGACTCAGGGCCTGATCCCAATCACTCACTTCAACAGGTGTCGGAGCTGGTCCTGCAGGTTTTTGGAGTGCTCCACACTAAAAACACAGATGAGATTTATAATAATAATGCATCGGTTTTATGGACACTCAAAGACGCTTCACATGTGTCATTATTCATTCACTCCATACACGGTGGTGATAAACTACAACTGTAGCCACAGCTGCCCTGGGGCACACTGACAGAAGAGAGGCAACTAGTATGCGCCATTGGCCCCTCCGACCACCACCGACCATTCACACACACACCAGACTCATTCTAGGCAATGGGGGTGAAGTGTCTTGCCTAAGGACACAACGGCAGTTTGGCACTTTACGTCCGCAGCCGCCCCACTGTGGCTGGTGTTCCCAGAGGTTAAGTGTCTTGGCAAGGACACAACGACAGCAGACAGTGGGAGTCGATGGTGAAAGTCTTGAGCGGGGCTTGAACACACAACCTTCTGGCTCAAAGGCCAACGCTCTACCAACTGAGCTACTGCCGCCCAGTTGCCATCCCTGAATACTTAGACTGTTCAGACTAATTCAGACTTACTTTTTCTGGATGGCCTCTTGCCTTTTGGGAAAGAGACACAATTCAGCATTCAGGTCAAATTCTGAACCATTTATGAATGTTTTATACTTACTGGTATTGTAGGTGTGTGGTTATGATAGACATTTTTCTTAGGCTCTGGAAATCAAGTTGGACATAGCAGAGGGAGTCATTGGAAATAAGAAAATTTCTTATAATAAGAAATATAACCATGTTATTTGGATGATGGGCAATCACCAGTATCATCCTCTTTTACTGGTTAATGTGCCCCAGTATCAGATCAGTAGATCCGGAGGTGGCAACACCTTTCTTTTATATACGCCATGGTCTTTTACAAACTACATGGTCAATCACATAAAGTAATTAGTATCTAGTGTCACTACGTTCAATGGTTGTATAATTTCCGTGGGTTCTCTTAATCACAATCTCAACGGAACTTCCTGTTTAATAAATATAGAATAAAATAAACAACACCCTCATTGGTACTCACGTCCTCAGAGTGCAGAATAGCATCCTCTTGAATCACCATATTCCGTGCAGCTTGTCCCAGGAGCTGGAGGGAACATCAGCAGTCACTACAGTTAGCACCAACTATATATATGTTTCTGTATAGCTGTGGCTGTTTGACTGATGACTACAGTGATGGAACAGACCCAGTTTAGAGCCCCGTGTGTCCCAAAATCATTAGGTCATCAATAATAAGAACAACACCCGCAGGATCTGGCTCAGGACCGTATGTTCCACTGTATATTCTACTGTATATTATGCTGTATAATACATTGTATATTATACAGTATAATACACTGCATATTATACTTTATTTTACACTGTATATTGTACTGTATAATACACTTTATAGAGTTTGTGGTCGGGGCTCACCTCTTGGCTGCGGGAGCCTTTGAGCACCTGCCGGGTCAGAGCCATCACGTCACCGCTGCATGATGCCACTTTGTCGGACAGCAGACCTTTGACAGACTGCCCGAAACGCGGCTGGGAATCCGCAGATGCCATCGCCATCATGAGCAGGAACTTCTTCTTCTTCTTCTTCTTTGCTGTTTTTTGGCGGTTGACAACCAAAAAAAAGGAGTATTACCGCCACCTACTGTACTGGGGTGTGTGGACCATTGGAATCAAGCTAGAATCAGCAGTTCAAATACGATCTTTCAGTCCGGTGGTTTTAATGAAATGGATTAGACGTTTGCGGATGTTTACAGACGGTTGATCTAGCAATGTCTTTAAATTAAATGGGCGTGTTTCTTTTGCAACAGCTGTTGACATGCAGACTCGTTGCTCTCTATAATAATCACAGTGCAGGAGGACATGTTCTACAGTCTCTGGTTCATGTGTACAGTGCTGGCACGTTCCATCCACATGCTTTCCAATTCTCCAGAGTGAGTGGTTTAGGCCTGTGTGTCCGATGAGCAGGAACTACGGGCTCTGAGCAGGGACAAAAACAAGACGACAACAACAACACTTCTTCGCTTCGAACGTGCGTCTCAGTGACGCAACAGCGCCTCCACTGGTGTTGTTTATTCCAGCTCAGTTCATAGGTCTAATATTTACAGTCTATGGTCGGGAACCTTTTTGCTATGAGAGATTTACAGTGTATGTATTGAAGCTAAAAAAAAAAAAACACAGATTTTTAAATGGGTTTTTGTTAGAGTCATACGCATTGTTTTTTTTTACTATGTATGTTTTTTTTTTTTTTTTACAAGATCAACACATTCAGAATTTAAAATTAGTCTCAGAATTAAAACAATTTTTTTAAATAAAATTCTTTGTATTCATTTTTATTCAGATTTGTCTGGGAGTCAAACACAATCACGAAACGAGCCACATCTGGTTCAGATTGTTTGAGCTCAAAGGAAATACATACATGGTGCAATTCAACAAAGGAACTAATAATGTTGCAATTTACAGATCAGGAGAGGCATTATACTATAAACGAGCCTCATGCTCTTTTAAAGATTTGTGTTGAACCCATGAAAAATTGGATTCAGTTTATATATTGTATTTCAAGCATGGCTTTTGAAACACTAAACAAACTATTCTAGAAATGTTTCATACTGGCAGAGAATGTGACAATGAAAAATAGAACTCAAGCCAACTGGTTATCCGAACTTAAGACGTGTGGCAAACGACTGCAAGCCTCAGGGTGTTTTCGTAGTTTCAGAATTCTGGGAGTCTAGTGTTAAAAAATAAAATATATTTGATTGGATTGCATTTACTTGGAGGGAGCTGAAGTCCAGTCTGGGCGCTTATCTTGTTTGGTTTAAATACTCAGACTCAAGGATGTGGCATTGAAGGCGGTCTATATAAGAGCGCAGCGCGGGCTGGAGTGTGATGTGAGACGTCATGCCGCTGCTCTGGTGTTTGTGCGTCTTTGCGCTCTTCAGCTTGGCAGTGTTGTCCGCTCTCTGGAAAGCTCGGCGCAGATCCTTGGAGCCCCCGTGCCTTCCATGTCTGCCCCTGATCGGAAGCCTGCTGAGCCTCGGGGGCCCTCATCCTCCACACGTCCTGTTCAAGGAGCTCCAGGCCAAGTATGGGGCCACATACTCGCTGAAGCTGGGTTCCAATAAGGTCATCATGGTCAACCACCACATACACGCCAAAGAGGTCCTGCTCAAGAAGGGGAAGATCTTTGCAGGAAGATCCAGGACGGTGAGCCAATCATATTCACTAATTAGCTGAAACTTTATATGAAAATATTGTGAATCTACCTCTGACCCTTGTGACTTAGTAATGTGGCTTTCAATGTTCTTGTTCTGTTTTTTATATGTGCGTGAAATGTGTACTAAATATTAGGGCTGTCAAAATTATTGCGTTAACTCACGTTAATTACATTTTTCATTAACGCGTTAAAAAAAAATTAACGCATTAACGCACGTCCGAATGACCCGCCCATTTATCCATAATATCACTCAGAATGCTGTGTGTGAGATGCATCAGAGCAGGTAGGCCCTCTGGGGATTCATGTTTCAAAAGAATACGCGCGCCACCGCGGGACTGTTGTTTGCTGTGAACTGAAGTCCGCCTCCTCCGTGGCCGCTCTGACTGTGAGCCGCTCACAACAACACGGCTGTGAGCCGCTCACAACAACACGGCTGTGAGCGGCTGTGAGTGAGTGGCGCCGCGGTAACATGGTCATAAGACCAAACACGCCACAGAACTATTGTCTGCATGTTGTGTTCGTGTCTTTGCAACCTGTGCGTAACCTGTGCGCGCAAATACAGCGCAGGAGTGTCCCTGTCTCCTCCTGAAACTAAACTAAACTGAAGCGTTGAATTAAAGCTGGGGCATGTAAATTTCCCCCTTTCATTAACAGCTCATGTTGCTTTTGCCCAAAAGCAAACAGATTTAAGTACATTTGGTATGAATGAATGTCATTATATTTGATAATCTCATTTAACTTCAATTGGAGTGGATTTGAAATAGAATGTTAAAAATGCAATTAATCGTGAGTTAACTCACCATTTCTGTGCGATTAATCAACTAAAAAAATTTAATCGTTTGACAGCCCTACTAAATATGTAAGCCTGTCTGATTTGTTTTTCAATTAGAAAAAAAACTAATTATCTAAAACTGTCAATTTCTGTCAATAATACTGTTGACTATTCTCTTAAGAAAGCAATGTACTTTTTTATTTTTTATTTTTGAACCCCTAGTTTTTTTATGATAGGCCTTACCAAATGGTCAAGATGCAGTTTGCTTTTTAAAGTGCCTAAATCCAAGTGTCATATGCTCCAAAGAGGTATATTTCACTTCCAAATTTAAAGTAAATGAATCAAAAAGTGATCCACCAAATGCTCGAGGAAACCATTAAAGGGTAAAAGAATGCATACCGAATAGTGGTGGGAGTAAATATATGTAGCCGACCATGATTATGTAAGCATTTTATCTTTGAGTAGTATCAGTAGTAGTAGTAGTAGTAGTAGTAGAAGTATTTGCAGGCTTCGTTTTCTTTCTGTGGTTTTTTGGGATTTGAGCATGTGTTTTAGGAACTTTTAATTATGAATGTGACTGAGTTTTATTATTTTCTAGTTCAAAGTTATATAGCTGCATAGTGCATTTCGAACTTAAATATTGTGCAATCTAACAGGAAATGAAAGTATCTTAATAATAATAATAATAATAAGTATTAATAATAAATTCTAAATTAGGGAACTGCTGCTCTCTAGACCATCGTGGCAGACGGACGGAAGCAAAGCAACTACACTAAAAACGGATTTGTTGAATTTCACCAATACATTTGTTATAATCAGTAATATGTAGCGATTCAACCAAACACCGGTCATGTGTTGTTCTGGGCTTTAAAATGGGATATGAAAAGTCCATATTGATTCACACAACTGCTACATTAGCGCCATATATGGAATTTTGTGACAATCAAAGACAAACGTCAGTGTATACAAAACAACAGTTGGATTCCAGAAGTTCTGAGCTTCACAACGAGGTATAGCATGACTAGAAGTTGGCTGGATGACACTGTGAAGTACCTCAATGGCTACTAGGGTTAGTGTAGAGGGCCACAACATTATACAACGGGCCGCATTTGGCCCACATGCCTTAGTTTGGACATGTCTGAGTTAAAATAACAACCTATCTAATCTATGGTTGTGTTTTCATAGATTGCGTTCAATCTGTATTGCTCGTAGCACCAGATTATTCTAACCAAAATATTGTTCTTTCATAAACACACCGGACGTGTTTGTCTTGCTTGAGGACACAGTGACAGTTTGGCAATTATCTCATGGGATCACGCTCTCCCATGCAGGGGACCCCACAGGTATACATGCTGTACAAACCATGTAAGGTAATATGTTACAAGATACACTACCTTAAAATGTGAAATAATTAATTCATATACTTTGCCTTAATAATATTAATGATAAAAATAAAACAAAATAAAGTGAACACAAAAATACATTGTTCTAGCAAATAGGAATTTTGAGTTGTTATGTTTAAGTAGATAATGACCTGTTTGTGACGTGATGTCAGGAAACAATTCAATTATATTATATTTATTCTTGTATAGCCCTAAATCACAACAGTAGTTATCTCAGAGGACTTGACAAAACTATTGAAATTTCCAACACAGATCAGAGAATCAAACAGTCCTAACACAAAAATATGTGTTTACATAAGCAACTTGCTTCAGCCCAATCCTTTTGGTTGTACAGTCAGATGTAATATCTGTTATTAATCAAACAATTGATCAAAATACATTCATTCATTCATTCATACAGTTGAATGTCTGATTTCAGTATTCTGTACCTTATGGAACACATCACTTTAAATACTCTTCTTCACTATTTCAGGTGACCACAGATGTTTTAACCAGAAATGGGAAGGGCATCGCCTTTGGAGACTATAGTGCCACCTGGAAATTCCACCGGAAAATAGTGCACGGAGCCTTAAGCATGTTTGGAGAAGGATCTGCCTCAATCGAGAACATCGGTGAGTGACATCCTTTCTGCACACTTTCATTGGAGAATTTAAATTTTGAGAAAGTCTATAAGTCTGTTCAGGACAACCCTGGAGAGGTCCTAGTTATACAGTATGTTTCTGAATGTTGGCCACACCCTTCAGCCCACAGAATTGAGTGCTTTGTTTTATTGTTTGAGGGATGGGTCAAATGCAGAATACACATATAATAAAGTATGCCTTAAACTTAAATTACTACTGTGAGTGAGATTCTGTGTCTGAATCACTGCTTTACTAACGTTTCTTGTTTTTATTTTGTGTTTGTGCAGTTTGTGCCGAGGCCCAGTCTCTCTGCACCCTGATGTCAGAGGCGTCTGCTGCTGACCTCTCTCTGGATCTCTCTCCTGAACTCACTCGAGCCGTCACCAATGTCATCTGTGCCCTGTGCTTTCACTCTTCGTACAGTCGTGGAGACCCTGAGTTTGAAGCCATGTTGCACTACAGCCAGGGAATTGTGGACACTGTGGCTAAAGACATCCTGGTGGACATCTTTCCATGGTTACAGGTATTTCTACATGTTAGAGCACTAGTTGGAGTTCAAGGTGTGACTAAAAGTGTGATCATACTGCCCCATGCTTGTTTTAAATTGCAGATATTTCCCAACAAAGACCTGCAACGCCTCAAGCACTGTGTGTCTATAAGAGACCAGCTCCTTCAGAAGAAATACGATGAGCATAAGGTGAGCCACAGAATGGATAGTGTGGAGTTTGAACACACTTGTGTGTAGTTCAGGCCTCAGTGTTTGTGTATGTTTGGCACAGGCAGACTACAGCGATCACGTACAGAGGGACCTGCTGGATGCACTGCTCCGTGCGAAGCGGAGTGCAGAAAACAACAACACGGCAGAGCTGAGTGCGGGCCCTGGGGGCCTCAGTGATGACCACGTGCTCATGACAGTAGGGGACATCTTTGCGGCTGGAGTGGAGACCACTACCACAATGCTTAAGTGGGCTGTGGCTTACCTCATCCACCAGCCACAGGTTGGTGGTGTTATACGGTGCCATAAAAAGTACCAGATTGTTTGTCCTCATGTATATGTGCAGTAATGGTTGTGTTCAGCTGCAGAAGCAGATACAAGATGAGCTGGACCGGACAGTGGGGTTGGAGAGGGCCCCTCAGCTGAAGGACCGGGGCAGCCTGCCGTACCTGGAGGCCACCATCAGAGAGGTGCTGCGCATCCGCCCCGTGGCCCCTCTGTTAGTACCACATGTAGCCCTCAGCGACACCAGGTACCAGCACTTTCACACAAAATATATACATATTGGCAAATTTAAATAAAGGTCTAATTATAATTATAACTAGAAACTTGCAATGGCTGAAGCCATTGCGATTGACTGCGGAACAGATCTAATGTGGAAATCTGCTAAAAAAAATCCTTGAAATCCTTTAAAAGGCCTTGAAACTGTTAAAATACTTGATAGATATTTGAAACTCCTGAAGTCCTTGAAATTGTTGAAACCTTTAAACTCCTGAAATCCTTGAAACTGTTGAAACATTGAAACTCCTGAAATCCTTGAAACTTTTTTTAAACCTGGAAACTGTTGAAAGTGTGGAAACTCCTGAAATCCTTGAACCTCCTGATATCCTTGAAACTGGTTAAATTCTTAAACAGTTGAAATCCTTGAAACTACTGAATGTATTGAAAGTGTCCTTGAAACTGAAAAATCCCCTCACCGCTGAAACAATTTGGTTCCTGTAACTAAGGAAACCTGGTCTGTGGTCATTATCTGGTGGTGGTCTGAGTCTTCGTTTGGGTCTTGGTCTGGTGGTATAATGCAACCTATTAGGTTGCATTATACTGGTTTACATGGAAAAATCCCTATTAGGTTGCATTATACTGGTTTACATGGAAAAATCCCTATTAGGTTGCATTATACTGGTTTACATGGAAAAATCCCTATTAAGTTGCATTATACTGGTTTACATGGAAAAATCTCTATTAAGTTGCATTATACTGGTTTACATGGAAAAATCCCTATTAGGTTGCATTATACTGGTTTACATGTACAAATCCCTATTAAGTTGCTTTATACTGGTTTACATGTAAAAACCCCTATTAGGTTACATTATAGTGGTTTACATGTAAAAATCCTTATTAAGTTGCATTATACTGGTTTACATGTAAAAACCCCTATTAAGTTCCATTATACTGGTTTACATGTAAAAACCCCTATTAAGTTCCATTATACTGGTTTACATGTAAAAACCCTATTAAGTTGCATTATACTGGTTTACATGGAAAAATCCCTATTAAGTTGCATAATACTGGTTTACATGGAAAAATCCCCATTAAGTTGCATTATACTGGTTTACATGAAAAAAACCCTATTAAGTTGCATTATACTGGTTTACAAGGAAAAATCCCTATTAAGTTGCATTATACTGGTTTACATGGAAAAATCCCTATTAAGTTGCATAATACTGGTTTACATGGAAAAATCCCCATTAAGTTGCATTATACTGGTTTACATGTAAAAAACCCTATTAAGTTGCATTATACTGGTTTACATGGAAAAATCCCTATTAAGTTGCATTGTACTGGTTTACATGGAAAAAACCCTATTAAGTTGCATTATACTGGTTTACATGGAAAAAACCCTATTAAGTTGCATTATACTGGTTTACATGGAAAAAACCCTATTAAGTTGCATTATACTGGTTTACATGTAAAAACCCCTATTAAGTTGCATTATACTGGTTTACATGGAAAAATCCCCATTAAGTTGCATTATACTGGTTTACATGAAAAAAAAACCCTATTAAGTTGCATTATACTGGTTTACATGAAAAAACCCTATTAAGTTGCATTATACTGGTTTACATGGAAAAATCCCTATTAAGTTGCATTATACTGGTTTACATGGAAAAATCCCTATTAGGTTGCATGATTACACTGAAGTCCTTGAAACTGCTGAAGTCCTTGAAACTGCTGAAGTCCTTGAAACTGCTGAAGTCCTTGAAACTGTTGAAGTCCTTGAAACTCTTGAAATCTTGAAACTGCTGAAATCCTTGAAACTGTTGAATCCTTGAAACTGTTGAATCATTGAAACTGTAGAAATGTCTGAAAGAGCTGAAGTCCTATTAAAATGCATGGGCCTATTAAAATGCATTGCAGAATTCTCAATGCAGATTTTTGTCCGATTGCGGAAAAACCGGAAATCGCTGAAGTCCCAAAAGTAATAGCAATAATCTCCCAAACATGTGGAACGTTTTGATGTATAACTTGTGGAAATTGTTGAAAATGTGAAAGCTGTGAAACGTGTCAAAAAAAATGACGGAATAAAGAAATACAAAACCAATGGTTGACTGCGGAAGGTTCCGCAGTCAATCAATTATAATTAATTGGGCATAAGCGGGGTGCTTCAAAGCAAGGTCCTAGGTTCGATTCCACCTCCAGGCCTTTCTGTGTGGAGTTTGCATGTTCTGCCTGTGTCTGCGCAGGTTTCCTCCGGCGCTATGGTTCCCCCTACCACTAAAAACATGTACAATAGTTCAGGGTGAAGTGTGTGTGAGTGTGTGTGAGTGTGTGTTTGTGAGTGCGACCGTGGGACAATGGATGCAAATTAGCCCAAGGCTACAATCCGGAGTGATTTGTTCATTAACATGTACTGTCCCAATCATTATCATCACATTAATAAACAATGAACAATTTAAGCCCAGGATCAACAACCTGCAACACAAATTTAATTAAGACAAACTAACATTTCTGTGGAGAAATATCTGCATTAGTTGTTCTGTTTAAAAATAAGACAGTTGGTTATGGATGCCTAATAAAAGAATAATCTATCATGTAAAAACACTGAGACGCTGAATCTGTACATCTTGTTTCTTCTGCCACAGTATCGGGGACTTCAATGTGACGAAAGGCACACGTGTGGTAATTAACGTGTGGTCTCTCCATCATGACCCGGAAGAATGGCCGAATCCAGAAAGCTTTGAGCCCGGTATGTTAATATACTAGATCCATTGTTAATACTGATAAACTGTAACAAAAAATAATAAAAATTAAAAAATACTATATAAACATTGTCCACTCACCTTTGGCCCTCCGTGGGCGGTTATCCCTCTCTAAGCTCGGGTCCTCTACCAGAGGCCTGGGAGCTTGAGGGTTCTGCGCAGTATCTTTGCTGTTCCTAGCACTGCACATTTCTGGACCGAGATGTCCGAGGTTGTTCCAGGGATCCGCTGTAACCACTCTTCTAGCTTCGGGGTCACTGCCCCGAGTGCACCGATCACCACGGGCACTACTGTCACCTTTACCCTCCAGGCCCTCTCCAGCTCCTCTCTGAGACCTTGGTATTTCTCAAGCTTTTCATGTTCTTTTTTCCGGATGTTACCATTGCTTGGAATTGCCACGTCCACCACCACGGCTGTCCTCCGCCCTTTGTCCACAACCACGATGTCAGGTTGGTTCGCCATTACCATTCGGTCGGTCTGTATCTGGAAGTCCCACAGGATCTTTGCACACTCATTCTCCACCACCTTTGGAGGAGTTTCCCACTTAGTCCTTGGGGTTTACAGCCCATACTCTGCACAGATGTTTCTGTACACTATGCCAGCCACTTGGTTATGGCGTTCCATGTAGGCCTTCCCTGCCAGCATCTTGCACCCTGCAGTTATGTGTTGGATCGTCTCAGGTGCCTCTTTGCACAACCGACACCTTGGGTCTTGTCTGGTGTGGTATATCTGGGCCTCTATCGCTCTGGTGCTCAGTGCCTGTTCCTGTGCAGCCATGATGAGTGCCTCTGTGCTGTCCTGTAGGCCAGCCCTTTCTAGCCATTGGTAGGACTTCTTGAGATCAGCCACTTCTGTTATGCTCCGGTGGTACATGCCGTGTAGGGGCTTGTTCTCCCATGATGGGCTCTCCTCCAGCACCTCCTCATCTCGCCACTGCCTGAGACATTCACTGAGTACGTCATCCGTTTTGGAATTTGGATGTTTCGTCCTGGACAGTGGCTCTCACACTCACTAGTCCTCGGCCTCCTTCTTTACGGCTTACGTACAGTCTCGGGGTGCTAGATTTGGGATGGAACCTGCCATGCATGGTAAGGAGCTTTCGAGTTTTAACATCCGTGGTCTGAATCTCTTCCTTTGGCCACCTGATTATTCCTGCGGGGTATCTGATCACTGGCAGGGCGTAGCTGTTAATTGCCCGGGCCTTGTTCTTGCCATTGAGCCAGCTTCTTAGGACCTGCCTTACTCGCTGGAGGCATTTGGCAGTTGCCGCTTTCCTCGTCACCTGTTCGAGGTTGCCATTTGCCTGTGGTATACCGAGATGCTTGTAACTGTCCTCAACGTCTGCTATTGTTCCCTCTGGGAGTGAGATCCCTTCTGTGTGGACTACCTTGCCTCTCCGAGTCACCATCCTGCTACATTTCTCGAGTCCGAATGACATCCCGATGTCATGGCTGTAGATCAATATATATATATATCAATATAGAAATATATTGATATATATATATATATATTTATTTTTTTATTTATTTATTTATAAAGTAACGTTGGGTGGTGGGTCAGAAAATATAAGGGCCCTCGCAGTTACCTCATACATTGATTTGATTCTTTTTAACAACAACTTTAGGCATGGTTGTAAAGACAAGACCTTATTTATCTCAAATTAAGTAAAAAATAAGTTCATAGCAATAGCTTTAGTTTCTCACTATAAGATTCTGAAACTCCTCTCATGTCGGCTTGTTGTGCCCGCAGCTCGCTTCTTGAACAGTGACGCCAGTGGACTCGTCATTCCCTCTCCCAGTTATCTGCCCTTCGGAGTTGGCCAGAGGGTGTGTCTGGGGGAGGCTCTGGCCAAGATGGAGCTCTTTCTGTTTCTGTCCACCATCCTGCAGCGTTTCACCCTGACTGCGCGGCCTGGAGACCCTCTGCCCAGTTTAGAAGGCAAGTTTGGGGTAGTGCTCCAGCCACCCAAGTACTATGTGCATGCCCTGCTCCGACCGGGTTGGGAAAGACACGAAGACAAAAGCCTGAACCCCTGAAGTAAACTGGAAGAATGAAGACATGGGAGGAACATTTGCAATGAAAGGACTGCAAATCCAATTCTGAAGCATTTCAAACTGTTCCAAAGTGCTATACTATACTTAAATTTGTTTTTATGTTTAAGCCCTGCTTCTGAAGGGCTCTCAGACATAAAACAGATTCTCTCATTAATCAAATAATTAAAGGCTTTGAATTGTTATTTATTGTGGTAATAAAATAAAACTGCATAGAAGCTTTGTGTCACATGTCTGTTGCCATCATCACAGTACGACAAGTAAACAATATATTTTTCTCCTTTCTGAATGTTTGTAAGCAGATTTTGTTGGTACAGTATTGGGGCAGACTGATGGAAGTGGAGCTGTCAATAGGACCTGTCTTTTGTACTAAGGGATTCTTTGATGTTATTTTATATTCTGTAAGCATAAGAGTTGTTTAGATTGTCTCAAATGACAGAACATCAACAATAGAAACATTTCTATCACTGTGTCTGTGTTTGTTACCTAATGCACAAAATCAACTATTGTTTACGGTTTGGAAAGTGCCCATAAAGTTGGGATTTAGTTGTATTACAATATTAATGACTGTACAACATTCTACATTGGTTTCAGTACTTCAATGCAAAGTGATGTTACATTATACAGAGTTACTTCAAAGAGGAATATTTATGTTTATAAAGGCCAATGTGTGGCTGTATGAAAAAGATAATGAATATATTACAGTTACTTTTGTATGGAGCAGATCACTGTTTGTGATCAATGTTTATAGAAAATCAAGTATTTGGATCAGAGAACAGATTTAAACAAATGATAGGAAAAAGGTGAATTGAGCTTATGAAAAATTGGAGCAACAATATACATTTTTACATGTTGGTATAGTGTATAAATAAATCATAATTATGTGAAGTTGGCTCTTTGTAGCCCTCAGTTTAGTCATTTACAGCATTAGAAGTTCCATGGTGAGGGTTTGGCTGCTAATGAAGCTAGAAAACTGTTTCTCAACCAATAAGTCTTTTGAGTGAGGGTCTGTGTTCCCACTGGCGGGTCGCATTGGGGCTGGTCAGCTCGAGTCAGAGAGGTTCAAAACATTCAGCAACAAAGAAAATGCATTGTTCGTGTAGGAATTTGTGCTTGTTCAAATCCTTTCATGGCTTCTTCTTTGGACACCTCTTTGCCTTCACTTATTTAGGGTTTCTCAGAAAGTCAATGGGTCCTTACACCCCAGTTTGACAAGTCAGGAGGATACACACTAATCCACTTAATCTGGCCTTTCTCCCACTCCACGCCACAGGCCCAGAGGTCCATCCATCCATCCATCCATTTTCTTCCGCTTTATCCGTTGCCGGGTCGCGGGGGCAGCAGTCTAAGCAGAGACGCCCAGACTTCCCTATCCACACACACTTCCTCCAGCTCGTCCGGGGGGACCCCAAGGCGTTCCCAGGCCAGCTGAGAGACATAGTCTCTCCAGCGTGTCCTGGGTCTTCCCCGGGGCCTCCTCCCGGTGGGACGTGCCCGGAACACCTCCCCAGGAAGGCGTCCAGGAGGCATCCTGAACAGATGCCCGAGCCACCTCAACTGGTTCCTCTCGACGTGGAGAAGCAGCGGCTCTACTCCGAGCTCCTCACCCTATCTCTAAGGGAGCGCCCAGCCACTCTGCGGAGGAAGCTCATTTCGACCGCTTGTATCCGCGATCTCGTTCTTTCGGTCATTACCCACAGCTCATGACCATAGGTGAGGGAGGGAACGAAGATTGACCGGTAAATCGAGAGCTTCGCCTTTCGGCTCAGCTCCCTCTTCACCACAACGGTCCGATACAGCGACCGCATCACTGCGCACGCTGCACCGATCCGCCTGTCAATCTCACGCTCCATCCTCCCCTCACTCGTGAACAAGACCCCGAGATACTTGAACTCCTCCACTTGAGGAAGGACCTCTCCACCCACCTGAAGAGGGCAAGGCACCTTTTTCCGGTCGAGCACCATGGCCTCGGATTTGGAGGTGCTGATTCTCATCCCAGCCGCTTTGCACTCGGCTGCAAACCGTCCCAGTGCATGCTGCAGGTCCTGGTTCGTTGGATCCAGCAGGACGACATCATCCGCAAAAAGTAGAGATGAAATCCTGTGGTTCCCGAACCGGACCCCCTCCGGCCCCTGGCTGCGCCTAGAAATTCTGTCCATAAATACAGTGAACAGAACCGGTGACAAAGGGCAGCCTTGGCGGAGGCCAACATGCACCGGGAACAGGTCTGACTTACTGCCGGCAATGCGAACACAGCTCTGACTCCGGTCATACAGGGACCGGACGGCCCTCAGCAGAGGACCCCGGACCCGTACTCCCGGAGGACCCCCCAAAGGACACCCCGGGGAACACGGTCGAACGCCTTCTCCAAATCCACAAAGCACATGTGGACAGGTTGGGCGAACTCCCATGAACCCTTGAGTATCCGATGGAGAGTATAGAGCTGGTCCAGTGTTCCGCGACCGGGACGAAAACCACACTGCTCCTCCTGAATCCGAGATTCGACCATCGGACGTAGCCTCCTCTCCAGTACCTTGGAGTAGACCTTACCGGGGAGGCTGAGGCGTGTGATCATACGATAATTGGAACACACCCTCCGGTCCCCCTTCTTGTAGAGAGGGACCACCACCCCGGTCTGCCACTCCATTGGCACCGCCCCTGATTGCCACGCGATGCTGCAGAGACGTGTCAGCCAAGACAGTCCTACAACATCCAGAGACTTTAGATAGTCAGAACGGATCTCGTCCACTCCCGGCGCCTTGCCACCATGGAGGCTGCCAACCACCCTGGTGACCTCGGCCAGGGAGATGGAAGTATCCGCCCCAACATCCTCAGTCTCTGCCTCCTGGACGGAGGACGTGACGGGGGGATTGAGGAGAACCTCGAAGTATTCCTTCCACCGCCCGACAATATCCCCAGTCGAGGTCAGCAGCCCTCCACCCGCACCATACACGGTGTTGGCAAAGAACTGCTTCCCCCTCCTGAGGCGCCGGACGGTTTGCCAGAACCTCTTCGAGGCCGACCGATAGTCATGCTCCATGGACTCTCCGAACTCCTCCCAGTCCCGGGTTTTTGCCTCTGCAACAGCCCGGGCCGCGGCACGTTTGGCCTGCCGGTACTGGACAGCTGCCTCAGGAGTCCCACGAACCATCATTGCTCGATAGGACTCCTTCTTCAGCCTGACGGCATCCCTTACTGCCGGTGTCCACCACCGGGTTCGGGGATTGCCGCCGGGACCAGCACCAGAGACCTTGCGACCACAGCTACGAGCCGCCGCATTGGCGATAGAGGAAGAGAACATGGTCCACTCGGACTCGATGTCCCCCTCCTCTGCCGGGACCTGGGAGAAGCTCTCCCGGAGGTGTGAGTTGAAAGTCCGTCTGACAGGGGGGCTCAGCAAGACGTTCCCAGCAAACCCTCACTACACGCTGGGCCTGCCAGGTCTGACCGGCCTCCTGCCCTGCCAGCGGATCCAACTCACGACCAGGTGATGATCGGTTGACAGCTCCGCCCCTCTCTTCACCCGAGTGTCCGAGACACGCGGTCGAAGGTCAGATGATACGACAACAAAGTCGATCATCGACCTCCGGCCTAGGGTGTCCTGGTGCCACGTGCACTGATGGACACCCTTGTGCTCGAACATGGTGTTCGTGATGGACAGGCCGTGACTAGCACAGAAGTCCAACAACTGAACACCGCTCGGGTTCAGATCAGGGGGGCCGTTCTTCCCGATCACCCCTCTCCAAGTGTCACTGGCATTTCCCACATGGGCGTTGAAGTCCCCCAGGAGAATAACGGAGTCCCCGGGCGGTGCACTGTCCAGTACCCCTCCCAAGGACTCCAAGAAGGCCGGGTACTCTGCACTACCGTTAGGCCCGTAGGCCGTCACAACAGTGAGAGACTTGTCCCCCACCCGGAGGCGGAGGGACGCGACCCTCTCATTCACCGGGGAGAACTCCAACACGTGGCGGCTGAGATGGGGGGCAATGAGTATGGCCACCCCAGCTCGCCGCCTCTCCCCGCGGGAAACACCAGAAAAGTGGAGCGTCCAACCCCTCTCAAGGAGTTGGGTTCCAGAGCCCAAGCTGTGTGTGGAGGTGAGGCCGACTATCTCTAGTCGGTATCGCTCAACCTCCCCCACAAGCTCGGGCTCCTTCCCCCCCAGTGAGGTGACGTTCCACGTCCCAAGAGCCAGATGTTGGGTGTGTGGACTGGGTCATCGAGGTCTCCGCCTTCGACTGCTGCCCAGTCCTCTCTGCACCTCGCCACCACGGACCCCTCTGCAGGTGGTGGGCCCACAGGAGGGACTGCCTACGTCATCCCTTCGGGCTGAGCCCGGCCGGGCCCCGTGGGCTAAGGCCCGGCCACCAGGCGCTCGCTTGCGAGCCCCGACCCCAGGCCTGGCTCCAGGGTGGGGCCCCGGCTGCGCCATGCCGGGCGACGTCACGGTTCTCATTGTCGTGCTGTCCATGGTTGGCTTCGGACTGCGCTTCGTCTGACTCGTTACTTGAGACCTGTCTGCCATGGGAGACCCTACCAGGGGCATGAAGCCCTAGCCTGGCTCCAGCCGACCTTTAGCCCCGCCTCCATGGAGTTTCTGCGGGCAGGTCGGTCTGGCATTCCTCAATGGAAAAAGTATTATGCCCGGTACGATACATACCGGGCCAGTCAGAGTGACAGGGCGGGCTTCATGTGATGGTTGACAGGTGAGCAACAGTAACGTCAGCATCTACGTCATCAAAGAGCGCCAGGGCAGAATACGTTCAAAACAAACATGCATTGCGCTAGGGAGGTGAGATGTGTGGATTCTGCTATTGATTCTGTTTTACAAGACATGAACAGAGAATTCATCTTGAAATATGAACAGAGAAACGCTATCAAGGCATTTGTGAGTGGAAAAGATGTCCTAGCCGTGCTCCCGACGGGATTTGGTAAAAGTTTGCACTCATTTTACAGGCAGCATGCGAGAAGGTAAACAATAATAACGTCGCATAAATACGTCACACCTCGCTCTCATTGGTTGTTGGACTATCCAATAGTACGAAGGGGGATTGTGTTTCCTGTTTCAGTTCGAACACGCCCCCCATAATACTTTTTCCATTGAGGAATGCCAGACCGACCTGCCCGCAGAAACTCCATGGAGGCGGGGCTAAAGGTCGGCTGGAGCCAGGCTAATGAAGCCCCAGACAGCATAGCTCCCAGGATCATCCGAGTGCTCAAACTCCCCCACCACGTTAAGGTGGCAGTCCAAGGGGAGACCAGAGGTCCACATAGACAAATCCAGCCCAGGGACAAGAGGATTGGGCGGCACGGTGGCTGAGTGGATAGCACTCTCGCCTCTCAGCAAGAAGGTCCTGGGTTCGAATCCCGGCCGGACCAGGGCCTTTCTGAGTGGAGTTTGCATGTTCTCCCCGTGTCTGCGTAGGTTTCCTCTGGGTACTCCGGTTTCCCCTACCACTAAAAATATGTACAATAGGTCTGGCATGCGCCTCCTGTTCGGCGACCCCGCTCCCATCTCTGTGTGGAGTGAGAGGACAAATGCCCAAAAAATAACAATTGTAAACCGCTTTGTGACTCTGGTCTGTGAAAGGCGGTATATAAATAAAGCTTACTTACTTATTAGGCTCCAACTCCACTGTGACACAGGTATCCACCGACTGACGCGCAGAGGCCACTCACTCCCTTGTGTCCTCGTGCGTTAAATGCACGGAAACAAAACATTATGAGTCGTTTGTCACGTCTGTGTCGGTGTGAATACGGTTAAGTCATGACATCACAGGCCTACAGTATCTAATTACAATTAACATAAATACAAATTTCAACATGTAATGGGATTTACAACCTGTCAAAGCTTTAAATTGAATAGCCTTAAAAACATTACATTGATCATAAACTATGCTGATGTAGCCACAGTTGCCCTGAGGGGAGGAAAGTGAGGCTTCTTAACTGCCTCATCAACCCCTCCAATGACCAAACTTTCACACACAGTATTCATACCCAGGCATCTCCCAGGCATCTCCCATCCAAACTGTTCCAGGCTTCTGTGTGTGTGTTTAATTGCTCCTATCACCATCATTGAACTTTCAAGTCAAGAACAACCAAGCTGTTTTTTCAAGATTTTGTACATTTATTGACGAAATGCCCTCATTCGGCAGTGTCATCTTTCATTGAGGTGTCAGTATAACATCATTTTTCACTTCTGAGATCAAAGCTGGAGCAACTTCTCAACAGTTTCTTTGTATTTTGTAGTTATGTCATAAAGGAAAGAAAAACATTACTTTTATTTAAAACTATCTATAGCCTGGTATCAGAAGTAATGGTCAAATTAAGAGCCTCAGAGATTATAAGGACTAGAATGAGGGAGTTGGCTTCAGATCTAACTAATGCTCAGTACAGAATTCTCGAATCATGTCTTTTCAGATTTGAGAGTGACTTCTGGATGAGAGTCAACATGTCTAGGCTGAAAACTTAAATACTTTTGTTACTTGTTCTGCCATACAAGTGTAGATGACAGGTGAAACATTTCTCTAAATCATAGTGAATGGTTACAATTGGTGAAATAACCCCAAACAAAGTAAACATTAAAAGAACCAGCCATGTGCAACGCAATCACATTTGTTCACCATTTTCTTCTATCTTAAAAAGGTATATAGAAGGATTTTCTACTTCCGGGTGGATCAGACTATTGGTCCTCCTAAGACAAGATCAGAGTTTTTCATCCAAAAAGTGGAGAGGGTGGTTCTTTCCTAAAATTTGGGGAAATCCTCCTACATACCTTTATGTTACTGAGATTTGAAAACTTGGAATGCTAATTTAGAGTGGCATACCTTGTACAAACAGTAGGGGGAGGCATAACATAAAAAGAAACCCTCTTGTGTGTGTGTGTCCAATATGTGTTAGAAATAAATATAAATTCAAAACCCGCATTGCAAATCCAAACTAGTATTACCGACCCTGCAGCATCATAGGACTGAAACGTACCAATCAGAGGTAATCCATAACTAAGAATTTATATAGATTGCATTTGGCAGAATATTTAGATTTTATAGCAATACAAGAATGTGTTTGGTCCTGGTTCCATTCTAGAGCCAGATCAAGTCACGTAATACAACATGTTTTGTTGTTAACATGATGCCAAAAGCTTGAATACTTGACAGATTATTATATTAAAGTTTTTAAAAACAAGCCCATGTAAAATCTAAGGAAAGCATTATAAAATGTTTAGGGGGGAAAAAAGCACGTTAGGAAATGACAGCCGTAACATAACTGGCATTTTAATTCTTGGACATCAGTAACCCAGGTCACAGTCCACGTCTTGTTATGTTCTTCTTCCAATTGTTGTTCGAGGGTTATGAGCTGGAGCCAGGACTCTGCCTGAAGTCGAGGGAGTGCAGGCTGGTGGCCAGGGCAGCGAACAGATGAGAGCTGTTGAATGTGATTCAGTTGTGACTGATCTTGCAGCCCTTATATTGTAAAATGTGTTTAAAATACAATATAGACATCTCTACAAAGATGTTGCTCGCTACAGGTTTCCAGATAAACCCAATTCCTTAAGCATCTTGTAGTAAGAAGCTGTGTGTTGTGTGTTAAAAAGCTTTCCCCGGGAAGTGGCTCATCCAGCCATGAGGTATGTGTCTTTGTCGTCATTGTATCTGTTTGTGAAAGACTTCACTTCCATGGAACCCATGCAGATTCTTCTCTGATCTCCACAAAAACATACAAAACATGTGTTTGTCTCATCCCCAAATCTGGCGTGGATGGAAGAGGGGTTTAATATGACGTTTTAATGATAATGATGTTGTTTGTTTATAGAGTGTTCGTAAACAGAAGCTTGGCGATGGAAAAGATCAAATGCTTTGGGTTTGACATGGACTATACTCTTGCAGGTGAGATCATTTATGAATATTATTCAGAACAAAAAGTATTCTTCCGCTGTTGATCCATACATCAAACACTTATAATAATAATAATGCCTCAGTTTTATATCACTAATGTGGTTTTAAGATGTTTTTGGACACTCAAAAGATGCTCCACATGTGTCATTATTCATTCACTCCATACACAGTGGTGATAAACTACTATTGTTGCCACAGCTGCCCTGGGGCACACTGACAGAAGCGAGGCAACTAGTATGTGCCATCGGCCCCTCCGACCACCACCAACCATTCACACACACACCAGACTCATTCCAGGCAATGGGGGTGAAGTGTCTTGCCCAAGGACACAATGATAGTTTGGCACTTTACAGCCGCAGCCGCCCCACTGTGGCACCTGGTGTTCCCAGAGGTCTCCCATCACAGTGCTAACCAGGCCCTGCCCTGCACATTTTCAGAGGTCTATCGGGATCTGGCTTTTGCATGCAGATCCCTTCACTTGTCTCGAAGGTTGTGTCAAAAATGTAAAGATCTCGGTTATCATTATTCTATAGAACAAATCCTTTTGATGGTTGATAATAATAGTACTTTATAGTTTATGTCATCAGCTTGTTTCACAGTGACAGTGATTTACTCTTAGTGTCTTTTCTATGTATTTGTTCTTACTATTACTAGTGTTTTGATAATGCTGTGGGTCATATTGTATTCTAGTGTGGTTCTAAGCTGAAAATAAACTGAATCTGAATCTGGATGTGTATTATAAGTGAGA